AATGGAGGAGGTAGGCATTGTTTACTTACACTCTATGCTTAGCGTTATGAAATAAGGCATAAATAAGCTGTGATCGGGAGTGTAGTACGAGGATCATCGTCGAACTGGTGATGGTAATGCGGCTGATTCGGTTCGCTTATGTCGATGCGTCTACCTAACTACAACACCTTCTGCGGTTTGTTGGTTCGAATTCTGGGACCTATCTCACTATCTACCACATAATAGGCTTCAATGCCATGTTATGTTTAATCATTAGTTGTTTCAAAATCCTCATCATTACGTAATTAAAAGCACGTTTATTTTTCCTTTACAGGTGCATTTCTTATACCATTCACGGTGATGCTTATAATAGCGGGGTTACCGCTTATGTTCATGGAGCTATCGTTCGGGCAGTACGCCGCCCTGGGCCCTGTCGCCGTCTACAACAAGTTCTGCCCGCTGTTCCAAGGGCTGGGCTACGGTATGGTCATCGTATCCTGCATCGTCATGCTCTACTATAACCTCATCATAGCCTGGACTATTTACTACATGGTGGTGTCATTTGCAAGCATCTTTTATCAGTTGCCCTGGCAAAACTGTGATGCTGAGTGGAGCACTGAATGTAAGTATAACAAACATTAACGTATATAATAATTAAATCTAATGTGTCCTGAAGATAATAATAAAATATATATTTTACAAAAATTGCATAAAATTATTCTGGCCCCACGGTGGGCGCCAACTTAAGATCACATCTCAGGATCTACATTGCTAGTCCCGTTTTTTAATTTTAAGTTAAGGTAAATACACTGTCAAACAATAAAATGAAATGAAAATCCACCTATGTGGATTACACATAGAATTTTTTATCCATAATTTTGCAAAATCACAGTTTGTACATCTTAAACTTACCAACTTACCTACGTAATTCCATTTTGATTATCCATTCTTTCCCCTTCCAGTTTGCTATTCCTACGAAGAAGCAGATGAGTGCATTGCGAAGAATGGAACTTACTATATGAGGCAATGTCTAAATCAATCTTACGTAGAAAAACACAACATAGACGCGCTGGTTGAACACGTTCTCCGGCGGCCTCCAGCTGAAGAATACTTTACGTTAGTACTAATTACTAGTACTAAATCATGCACATAATATTGTTTAAATCATTTTATCATAAAAATAAGTCTATTAATTCTTTAACGTCATCATAATTTTCACATAAAATACACTCATCAGTATTGTACGAGTAAGTAGGCTTACGTCCTTGTTAGTAGCTCATTAGTCTCACTAGTTAAAATTAAAAATTTCTATTGCAGTAATCAAGTTCTTGGCCTTTCATCGGGCATTGAGGAAACAGGGTATATTCGACCGGGTATGGCTACCTGCTTATTCGCTGCATGGATGATCGTTTTTTTATGTTTATGTAAAGGTGTGCAATCTTCTGGAAAGGTAATTAACTTTTTTCTCAATCTTTACCGTCAAACTAACACCTTTGCAAAATGAAGATGGCTAATTAAAAAATACATCTTGTTACAGGTGGTTTACTTCACAGCACTCTTTCCATATGTTGTGCTTGTAATCTTATTTTTTCGTGGTGTGACGTTGCCGGGTGCATCAACTGGGATCCTATTTTACCTGACACCTGATTTTAGTCAACTAGCAAATGCTCAGGTAATATTATTTACCCTCCAACTGGCATACCGAAAGTAAATTACGTAGACAGTACTTAACTAATTTATTTACCCTCATTTTAGGTTTGGGGTGACGCGGCTGTGCAAATATTTTTTGCTCTGAGTCCCGCTTGGGGTGGTCTTATAACTTTGTCCTCTTACAACAAATTCTCCAATAACTGTTATATGTAAGTAATATTCTGTTAAAGATCGAAAAGGGACATATTATTTATGTAGTCCCTTTTATATTAATCAGCAATTAGTTCTCTGAAATTGCCTTTCCTATAGTCCCATACTACTGTTTCTGTTATTAATAGCAACTTTGTTTCAGAGACTCTTTGATTGTCGCCGTGTCCAACATAGCGACGTCATTCTTTGCTGGCCTGGTTATATTTTCCGTGATTGGATTTCTGGCTCACGAACTGGACGTCGGTGTAGATAGAGTCGTGGACCAAGGAGCTGGTCTGGCTTTCATAGTTTATCCAGAAGTGGTGACTAGATTACCAGTATCGCCCCTATGGTCAATACTTTTTTTTGTCATGTTACTTACACTTGGACTTGATTCTCAGGCATGTATTATCCTCAATAACACTTTTAAGTAGGTTCGAATCTTTAAATGTATGACTAACTATTAATGCCTCTATTCTTTCAGTTTGCGCTTATGGAAACGGTTACGACTGCCATTCTCGATAGATTTCCAAACTTCCGGCAAAAAAAGGTATGGGTGGTGTTGACTGTGGCCGTCTTCGGCTATCTTGGTGGACTTATCTTCACTACGAATGTGAGTTGTTTCACCTTGTTTTTGCCTACCATTTATTTAGCTGTCATGTCGGTAATAATTAAGCAGAGTTAAACTTTTACATCAATCGCCCTTTATTTTTAGAGCGGCATGTATTGGTTGCAACTTATGGACAAGTACGCGGCGAACTGGTCGGTGTTAATTATTGCCATTGGCGAGTGCATACTAATTGCATGGATCTACGGAGCGGAGAAGTTTTGTCGTGACATACAGTGCATGATTGGCCGCCAGTCTAAGCTTTGGGTAATCTTTTGGAGTTCAATGTGGCGAGTCATCACACCGTCTGCTTTGGTAGTATGTATCTTTTTTATTTCAAAGTTAAATAGACAGATTTATTAAGAAAATAAGATCCCGGTTTTTTAATTGGGTCATAAGGAAACGAACACGATATCCTAAATCATATTGTACTACATAATGAAACAACAGTTGTAAATATACCTACCTCATATCGAAAGATATTTACCTACTTTTTCTGCAATTGGTAAAAAATAACTAACGTTTTTGTCATTTCAGTTTATATTGGTATTCAACTGGATCGAGTATAAGCCAGCGTCTTATGGGCACTACGTGTACCCGATGTGGGCGGATGCCGTGGGTTGGACCCTGGGCGTCTTGCCTGTGGTGGTCGTCGTCCTGATGGCCGTTGATCAAATCTGCAGTGGACCTGATGATCTAACCATTATGGAGGTATGTTATTATTAAATAACTTAAAATAAATAAAACGTTTATTGGCAGTAAAGTCCTTATATCTAGCGGATACCGCACTAAACAAAGCTTGTGTCGCAGTAACCTTTTATTTGTTACACAAACTTGCTATTATTAGTCAAGTTTCAACCTCTTAAGACACTCATCATTACAACCAAGTAGGTAGGTACATAATCCTACCAGCCTACTACTTGACAAACCTAAAGAGGATTTAGGACGCTATTTGGATCAAATATGTAATTGCTCAATAATCTATATATATAAAAGAAAGTCGTGTTAGTTACTCCATTTATAACTCAAGAACGGCTGAACCGATTTAGCTGAAAATTGTCAGGGAGGTAGTTTAGAGCCAGGAGAAAGGACATAGGATACTTTTTATCCCGTTCGAAATTTAAAAAAAAGTCTGCTTATTTATTGCCATTAAGGCGGAACAAAGTTCGCCGGGTCAGCTAGTCTATATTATAAAAGAGAGTCGTGTTAGTTACTCCACTTATAACTCAAGAACGGCTGAACCGATTTAGCTGAAAATTGTCAGGGAGGTAGTTTAGAGCCAGGAGAAGGACATAGGATACTTTTTATCCCGTTATTTATTGCCATTAAGGCGGAACAAAGTTCGCCGGGTCAGCTAGTGAATAATAAATAAATAAATAACTTAGTAGTAGAAAAGCAAGGAAAGCTTGCGGGTCAACTGAAGAATACATAACTACTCGTAACTCGTTTCTTCTCAAGCATTAGGTACATTACATTCTTCAGATATTTTTAGTCACTTATAAATGACTAGCGGTCGCCCGCGACTTAGTACGCGTGGATCCCATTTTACCCCCTTAGGGGTGGAGTTTCGTAAAATCCTTTCTTAGCGGATGCCTACGTCATAAGTGTCATAACATCTACTAGCATGCCAAATTTCAGCCCGATCCGTCCAGTGGTTTGGGCTGTGCGTTGATAGATTACTAAATTCTTTTATCCAACGTAAATTCTTACGCAAAGTTAACTTCATGTGTTCCCGCTCTCGGGTCCCTTACGAAATGCTGCTAACCAAATTTAAGTTCTTGAGCCTTGATTCTAGACGATTGCTCCTATCAGCCATGTTTTTATACAATCTAATAAATAATGAAATCGATTGCATAGACCTCTGTAACCTGATCCACTTTAGCGTCCCCAGGCGTGCTGCGCTCAGAAGCACACGCAGAGACGAGAGAACCTTTTATGTAGACTTGTGTAAAACCAATGCGGGTTTACGAGCCCCACTCAATAGACTGTTGTCCATTTACAACCAGAACTTTAATAGCATCGATTTTTCCCAGAGTTCCTCAAGATTTAAAAAGCATATTTTAGACACTCTGCAAAGTGACCAAATTAAAATTAAGATAAATTAAATGAAAAAAAAACAGAACAAAATTAATAATTAAAAGTCTGAAAATAATATTAATTACTTCTTGGTGTTGAGCTACATCGCGTTTATAAGGTGTACCTTAATTGTAATTGCCTCGCTCTATATTACATGGTTTCATTATCAATATGTGGATTACGTAGTGGGATGTGTTACCACATAAATAATACATAAGTCTAGTAGATAAGTTAATTTTTGTAACACATTTGTTTGTAATTCCTAAAATAAATAAATAAATAAATAAATGTCAGTCAGTCAGTAACCTTTGAGTTATATATCTTTAGATTAAATACCACAAGTTTCAATCAAGCCGATTGTCCAGTAACAAGTTGAAAGTGTCGTTGGTCCGATCACGGATGTCAGATATCTATGGTAGAGAAGAGTAAGCAGTAAAACATGTTGAACTTTTTAATTACAGAAAGCAAGGGTACTGGCCCGACCGACTGATGAATGGGGGCCATCAACGCATGCTGGCGTCGCCAGTGTGGCCCTGCGCAAGGAGACCGAGCTGTCTCCGCCGGTGCTGTTGCTGCACGGCCGGCCGGTGCTGCGCGAGCGAGGTGCATGACCCCCGCACACCCATCCGCTGGTCGCCATGCGGAAGGTAAGTTAGAGCGATCCATTCTTCTTGTGCTTTATCCCGTGGATAAAAAATAATAGTGTGTTATTTATTATAGACTTTTTTAAAGTGTTGAATTGAAATATTACCTAGGCACCGTAATATTATTGCAGCAGGTGAAAATTGACTCGTTTGTTAATAGTTTCACGGCAAACTGAAAACTTGTAAATGAACACGATTGCGTGTATGAAACGGGACTGCATTTATCGTTTTATTTATTTATACTTACGTACTATAGAAAGATCAGAACACCATCGATCTTTTTTGTAAAACTTTGTAAATTTGGGTAGAGATTTATTTAGAATCCTTTCTTTTTCAGACTTCTCAAGATGATACGACATCTATAACAAGTGGTACAGAGAATGAAGGCAGAAAACCTTCAACGGGACTAGCAAAAATAAAAAGAAGCTCTATTAAAAAGAAAGTGCAAAATTATAGCAACGAATCAGACGATGGTGTTGTTGAGCCTTTATTACAAAAAGATAAGGAAAAGATAGAGTTTTCAAGTCAAAGTGCCAAATTTTCGATTTCAAAAACGAATACTCTTGTAGGCAATGATAAAATGGATGATACAGACAAATTACTCCCTGACATCAAAGTTGAAAAATTACCACTTGCTAGCTCCAGTGTGTCAGACAATCTAATTAACGGTACCAAAACTTACGCATGTACACCCAGTGCCATTCATAATCATATGAACACAAATATATTTAGTAATACCGATGCAATAAAAAATTCAGTAGTGCCTAAAAGTCAAATTTTAGTTGAAATTGATGGGAATAAACCAAGCAGCTTCAGCTCTGGACCTTTAATATTTACTACTGCCAAAATTCACACCGATGGAAAAACAACTCAAATGGAACCAGTACAAGTAACACCAGTGCCAATCTTTTCCACAGTAGAGGGTAGTGTTATAAAAACTAGTTCAATAGTTGATAATCAAAAAGTTGACAAAGTGACATCGGGAAAAAGTGTATTAAATAGTTATGCAAAATCATCAGATGTGGATACTATTAAGATCGATTTGGATGTAAAAACTGCTACAGGAAAATTAATTTGTAGTAAACCGGAATCTACGAGTATTGTAAGTGGTTTCCCTAAAATATCTCAAAGTTCCTTTGAGGACAAGAAAGGTATAACCAGTACCACAAGTAATTCCAAAATATCAAATCAGGTTGCCTCAGCAGCTAAAATAAGTGAAAGCAATACGATGACCACCTTTGCTGCAAGTATTAGTATGACTAAACCGGGTATAACTAAACCGCAGTCTACTGTTAGTGGTCTTCCTAAATTGTCTCAATGTTCCTCTGAGGGCAAGAAAGGTTTAACTGATACTACAATTAATTCCAAAATATCAAATCAGGTTATCCCAGCACCTAAAGTAAGTGAAAGCCATACGATGACCACTACTGCTGCTGCAAGTAAGAGTGTGACTAAACCGGATATAACTAAACCGCAATCTACTGTAAGTGGTCTTCCTAAATTGTCTGAAAGTTCCTTTGAGGACAAGAAAGATTTAACTAATACTACAGGTTTAATTAATTCCAAAATATCAAATCAGGGTACCTCAGCTGCTAAAATAAGTGAAAGCCATACGATGACCACCACTGCTGCAAGTAAGAGTGTGACTAAACCAGATATAACTAAACCGCAGTCTACTGTAAGTGGTCGTCCTAAAATATCTCAATGTTCCTCTGAGGACAAGAAAAGTTTAATCAATACTACAATTAATTCCAAAACATCGAATCAAGTTACATCAGCTATAATAAGTGAAAGCCATACAATGACCACTACTGCTGCTGCGAATAAGAGTATGATTAAACCAGATATAGCTAAACCGCAATCTACAGTAAGTGGTCTTACTAAAGTGTCTCAATGTTCTTCTGAAGACAAAAAAGGTTTAACCAATACTACAATTAATTCCAAAATATCAAATCAGGGTACCTCAGCAGCTAAAATAAATGATAACAATACTATGGCCACCACTACTGCTGCTGCGAGTAAGAGTGTGATCTCGACTTCGTTGACACCTTCTGAAATGGGTACTTCTGCTATGCCAAAATTAGTAGGAAACGAGGTGCCAAAAATGCAAGTTACAGACAAAAAGAATACACTTGGCAGCAAACAGGAGATAGACGTTAATAAAAACTTCCAGTTACCTACATGCTCATCTTTGCCTATGAATAACTCTAACTTGGAAAAAGATGTAACAAGTAAAGATTCAAGTAATACTAAGCAATTACAACGTCCGACAAGTAAGATTGAGGACGTCCAAAATAATAAGAATGCCAAAACAAATTCAGAGGGTAAGGCAATTATGACGGAAAAAATGCCATCTACTTCAAAAAGTCAAACAATTGATGCGGAAAATCAAAACAAAAACAATGAAGCTACTAAGTTAAGTAGACCAGTCGTAACAACAATACAAGATAAAATATCTACACCACTTCAAGTTAGTAATATATCAAAAACACAAAAACTGACTGATAAATTTTCAACTGGATCATCTGCGACGACCACTCCGAGCTCTACTTCTAACATGGTCCCCAGTACAAATACTACTCCAAAAGTAACAGGTACAACAATAAGTGATAGTACTGGGAAGAAAATGAGTACAAGCATATCTTCTGAGTCAGGTGCAAATCCTACAGTGTCAACAATATCACCGGCTTTAAAGACTGTTGGCCCTGAGTCAAAAATATCCACTAAAATAGAATCAGTTAGTCATAGTGCACCACTAAGTAATACGGGAACTACAAGAACTACCACAAACAGTATTAATACTCCTACATCTATGACAAGTTTAGCACAAAACAGTACAAAAGAATCGGCGCAAAAAACAGGCATGGCACAGACGGCCAAGACAACAATATCTACCAACAAACCAACAGTTGCTCTAACGTCTTCAACAACTCCTCTGAGTTCATCGGGGCCAAAGTCCATAAGTTCGAATGCACCAATAAGTTCGTCTGTGGTACCTTCTAAAAGCGATATTCAAAATAATAAGTTGAATCAACCAAAAGATCAAGTAACCCGTAGCCAAATACGGAGTCCAACAACCTCTTTGGTAACAACAGGGTCTTCTGCAATAAAATCCCCAACAACCACAGGTAAAACACCTTCAACTCCGTTAACGTCCGCTGCGAAGACGATAAGTGTTAGTTCAAAGCCTTCTACTAGCGGGGTGACATCTAAAGATACACAAATGCCTAATCTTGGAAAAGTTGGTGACAACAAAAGCGTTTCCATGACTGCTTCGATTAAATCACCTACAATAGTATCATCGGCGTCTGTCGTTACTACAACAACTCAAAAGCCGACAGTCAATAAATCAACTGAGCTACGAAGTAACGATAACAAAAAGGAAAAATTCAAATAGGTAGATTTAACTTATAATTTAGATTACACGACGAACTATAATTTAGGAATACACCCTTGGCTCAATCCAACGTGATAATAAGTACCTTTGTTATAAATGATGTTTTTTCAACAATATGCTTATATTTTAAATATGTATTACAAATAAGTATATTATGGCCGTGTTTTGTTATTTTCTGTAAATATTTATTAAATAATTTCAATGTGTGTTAGTTGATAACCATACTTACTTTTAACGTAAACTTATCGCATTATAGGAACTTCCTATAATGCGTTATTAGGAACTTGATTGATGTCGTTACTTCTACTTTTCTTAGTTAATACATACATCACTAAATATTTAAAACATTGATCTCTGAATTCGAATCTTTCATGATGTGACTAGACACGACAGTGCTAACTTACCTTAGGTATTTATTAAAAAAATGTATTAACATCCGTATTTTCATAGTTAGTCTGTAATGTAAAAATGATATCAATATAAATTCATGTGATTATACAAAAATATTATAACGTAGTGCACGGCTGTTCTTTCAGCATTCTGAACACTTGAAGGAAACACGTCTATTTTATTAAATTTTATTTGTTACGTAATGTTTTGCATTTAAAATAAGTATTAGACGCATCATTACGGCAGCGTGCATTACGTTAAAAATAAACTTATGTATATCAGTAATAGCGTTACTTATAGAAAAAAAAAATATTGTGTCTGGAATAATGGACACGTTGCCAACGAGATGTTTATGGATATGGATGAACGCAGATTTTAATGTATGAAAAAAACTAATAAGAATTTCAACAAATCATCGCTTTACAATGTGGAAAACTGAATCACCTCCTATATTCATAATGGTTATTTACCCTGTTTTTGTCTACTTTCCCGTTAGTTCTGGTGGAATTGGTTAACTATTAGCTTTTTTCCAAGTCATCGCTTCTTTCACGCAAAAATAAGACACATGGAATTGAAATTTGTATGAATTGATTTTTATATTATGTCTTTACGTAAGTCCAGGTAGCGAATAACTTCGGGAACAGATGATTTTGATTGGAATTGATTGAACATTGACTAAGGTTAACACAGGATGACAGGTTGGTAGTCACAGGGGGGGTCGCCATTATAAAAAGAAGATTTTACTTAAATTTGATTCTGATTCGAGAGTAAAGTTGAATTTTAGCAATTAGAGCAAACAAATTATCATGCTCGATGCACCTATTATCGAGTGTAGATTTCAAAATAAGAAATTGTGCCAAAAATTATAATATGACAGACGGCCGCGTGACCATTTGGTGGTTTTCGTACGAACTGCACCACAATGCAAATTATTTATAGAGTCATGGAAGGTTTATCATTAAAAATGTATTGTTTATTTTGTATTTATTTGAGGATTTTTATTGGATATCTAGGCACATCACAAGTTAACAGTTGCGTTTGTTAAATGAACCTAACCACAGCCAAGCACGATGGTCATTATGTATGCGTTTAAGATTGTTAATGTGCTGTTTGTTATAGTGGTGCTAAGAAAGACACAATATTTTTCATAGATAATATTTAAATATTTTCGAAACTTTAGAGATGATTTCTTTCGTCTCGTGCAGTGTCAATTTTTATAATTATTTAAATTTAAAAATATCATTCGGTAAAAATGAGAGAAACGGGCAGGGTAGTGGCAGGTAAATACCAATTTACTTCAACAATCTACTTATTTTTTTACGTGATAAATGAATAACCGACTTTCCTAATAATTATACAAATCAAAAACCCTATTGGTTTTATATTTTAGATGAATTTTTTTTAACATCGCCTATTTATAAAATCTACCTACTCGAACTTATCAACTATGAAACATTATGAATGAGCCATCATTTCTGGTAATAGCGAAAACATAAATTCACCAAGAATTACATAAAATTGTGTGAATAAATAAAGTCTGATATCATTGGAACTTCAACAAGGGTACAACCAAAACGTACACCATCGGCACCCATCGGGATGTAGGTATATTATGCTTGTGTAACTATGTCAGCCTCATTAACAGTTACGAAAAACATAATGAAGTCCAAGCTTTAAATCTTAACGAATTTGATTAAACTAGACCTGATTAAACCATTATGTTGGAAAGCTTTATTGAAAAGGAAATTATCACTATGCACCTACACTTGTACAGTCCAGACATTAGTCCCTAATTAATTCTAACCGCACCGCATTTAATTACATCTAGGACGTAGGTAACGTAATCATGGCAGTGTCGATTTTAAATTCCGTAAACGTTCTTAATATAACTTATTATTTACGGTACAAGCACACACAAAATCACATTTAAATATTTTTCTTAGGAATGTTGCACAAATTACTTGGTACATACCACTTATTATCGTAGGTTCGTCCAACTTACAACAAATCCGTCTGTTTTTGCACAAACTTTTTTATTTCATGTAGGTTCCTACGTATGCTGCCAAATTGAATAACGCTCAATAATTCTATGCTAAGGATAGCAATTTCTATAAATTCTTACATAACCACGTTTCTCTATCTCCAAGCACTCTGCCAATGACGGATTCGTAATAAAAATACAAACACGTTTGAAAATCAGCGTTCTATTAATAAATTACATAATAAAAAAAATATCAATATTTCGGCAACAATTGTATTTTTTATGAAGTATACAAATTAACCGCAAATATTACAAGCCCCAATTACATAAAAAAAATCCCGATTGTCTTATGAAATCACGATGCTAAGCATTGGTGATTCGAGGCAACCAAAAGTGAAATCACATCTGCACTTTTTATATTTGTTTGACAATAACTTTAAACATTTAAATCTAAAATGTACGTTAATGTAAAATAAAAATAATGCAGTCTCTTAAAATTTTTCGATTCTTATTTTTGACGTTATTCTCAAATTAGGTACTCTACCTTACATCAATTTCTTACGTAGATATTAATGTAGTATAGACAGGTATATACGTACGTGTATAATAGGGAACAGCTGTGTGTGTTACGGTTCAAGTAGATATTTTTTGAATAGAATATTCTCCTGTCTTCAATTCATTTATCTTACTGGAAAACTATAGACGCACTAGCTAGTGAATGTAATTGAGTATTATGTAGTAGGTACACTATGTTATAATTTTGATAAAAAGCAATTTGAGGCTTCAGATACAATTAACTGAATGAGCATGTAGACACTTTATAAACTTTTTGTTTTGTATTTAAGAGACGAAGAACGAATGGTTCAGTAAATTAATAATAAGATGACTCAATTAAAACCCAAGTGTTTAGGTAGATCTTAACATTGTATGAAATCAACTTAGAAAATTAGACTTGTCGTTTAGATATTTCATTGAAATATAACTAGATTTCTAGTAATTAAGAATTGTAATAATCCATTAAGTTGTTAATATTTTTTTAGATACATTTATTTTGATATAATATCATGTTTTATCCTGTAGAAAATGTTTTATAATACCTTACGATTTGTATGTTTATTGATGATGTAGTACTTAGTAGGTACACCTATGCTTTTAAATAGGTATGTCGTACATAATTAGTTCCCCACACAATAATGTAACTACTGGAATGACGGTAGGTGAGGGTAGTGCCCGTGCCGCCGCGGAGTCCTGACGCGCAGGATCGACTCCCGGTCGCGCGGCGCACGCGCTGGTGCCAAGCCGGTGCGGTCAACGCGCACCTATACAGGGCAATGTTTAGGTATAATTGCGTACCAGAGAGTAAATATCTCAGAGATATGTAAGTACGTATATTTCCACGAGACAATTATAGCTCGCCTAATTGATTAGCGATATTGTTGTTAAACTTGATGTATTTTAGAAAATTATTGATTAAAAATCGATGTTACATAGATGTTTATTGTAAATATTAGATATATCGATGCCAATGAAGTATGAAATGTTCTAGAGTGTTATAGAAGGCTGTATTTTTGGGTGATATTTTAGAGAAGGAAGACAGCATATCTTTGATAAACTATTTAAAATACCACATGAAAAAGGCGAAGATTGATGGGCATAGAATTGGTAATGATGTGATAACGCAATGGATTTAGTTTTAGTGTTGTTGTGCTATTAATAAAATATGTTCAAATGTGGTTATTTGTTGTTTCTTGTTACCTTTAGTAATAGTAGTTACCTTATCTTTAATACTATGCATGTCTTGCACCAATGGAAATCGATTTGATTTGGAAAGCCCCGGTGACAGTTACAGCCGCATAGTATTTGTTGTTTTATTAGCATTGAATTAAATGGCCACGGGGAGAAGTTTTATCGCGGTGCTGCCGATGACGTCGATGTCGAACTTTCTTTGGTTGCTTTTATTTTAATTCGTGTCGGTGCTCCGCCGCGAGCGCACGCCAGCGAGGCTCGGTCGCTGCCACTCGGTGTCGGTTCAGTATTTAATTCGTTATAACCGGTAATCGTCAGTTCGAGCACTGACATTGCTGCTACAAACCAACCGTGAACAAGTATTGAAACCATACCATAACACTGCTACATAATTTTGATGTTGATGTGCATTTGTGGAATGACTCTGATTCATATGTTCAAGTGAAATGGGACGCTCATAGGCTACGAAAATATGCTGTTATTTTGAGCTGATTAATTCTGATAATCATCTCTAGTGGAACATTGCGGAATTTGGAACGGTGAGTTGGTGTATTTACTGGGACTGTTGTTATACCTTCCATGTTTGCAGTCTTGTAACATACCTAAGATTTATTGTAAAGTTACCTATAGGTAAGTTAGGTTTCTACAAAAAATACCTATCTTACTGATTCTGGAAAAACAAAAACGTAGTTACGTTAACGTAACTCCTAAACGATGAGATATTGAGATAATGTCATTGTTATGCCACATTTATCAAATAAATAAGATAAACATTTGATATAACGACAGCTTCTTTAAAATAGTTCATGTAATTTTATTTAATGTGGAATGTAATAAAAGATTTAAGTCCTACTTGTAAAACATGCCTAGGTACAACTTGCCTACCTATAACTTATTATGAAGCACAATGAACAGCGATCTATTAACTTGATTAAAGTTGGGTAAAATGTTGTTAGATGTATTTTTATTGTTAAAGTCGTTGACGTGGCTATTTTAGTAAAAAATATTGCTGGTTTTACGTTCGCTAGATATGTATGCGAGATTAAATTAAAAAACAGAATTTCTTTTTCATTATGGTCATTATGCCCGCTCAATCTTGTGGAAGATCAATAATAAGTGCTGGGAGGATAAACCTACATCCTCTAATTAGCTCTTAATTAGGTGGAACTATTCAACCCTTTATTATACGTCTGCTCTCTTCACTTCAACAGGATACTGACAGTTAGGTTCAATAATTTTTATTACAAAACTGGTATTAATATCCGTTCAGTAGCGGACCCATGGAAATAAATATAAATACGGGTATGATTGCATCTTCAAACAAGTTTTGATTGAAATAAAATCCAAAAACGGTTTCCTAAAATGATCTTCGTAATCCTCTAATAAACTGTGGTATTCAAACTATGAATAATTAAATTGTCTGATTCAATATACGCTATGCTATGATGTTTACCGGTTTAGCGTAGTTAGTGCAATTTTCAAGGCAAGGAAAAGTTAAGTGGAACCATCCTTTATTTTCAGTTAATTTACCTACTACACAGAGGTATATTAAGTAATTTACATTGTTCTTATGAGAATTAGTGCCCAATGATAGAACGTAATAATTGACTAAGAGCAAGTTAATAGTATTGGTATACATGCATAGTAAGGTAACAATAGACATGTAAAACTAAGTTTAAGTTTCCTAAGGCAACTCATTGTTAAAAATCTTAGATATAGTTGTTACTTTATGATAGCCAAGATTTCAGAAAGGAGCACCATGAGGGCAGTTCGAACTAATAACTTTGATAAACGATATAGTAGCAGTAGAAGGTAAATATTATTGAGATTCAATTAGAAAATAAAGCCTGTTGCTTATATGGAAGCGTGTGAATCGCAAGCAGAAACTGCGGCAGTCTCGTCCGTCAGCTCACTTTCCATCCATTCATGGAATCTTCGGCTTTTTCATACGATTTCTTTCGACCTCGTATAATGCTTGTATACGATACTTGTTTCATAATTGTCAGCTTTCCTCTTTGTTTATTTATTTCTCTCACAAGATTTGTAGGTGAAATTGATAGAAAAAGTGTTGTAGTAATGTTAACGATATTGTTCGTTATAAGTGAATGATCAATTCTAACCATATTACTTTAAGTTAAAACAAATTCTATTTTGTAAACGACTAAAGAACAAAGGCTTCTTAAGTATCTACAAGAATTAGGCCCATGTTGGCTCATTTGTTACGTCGGCGTTGTTCTAACAATTTTAATGTACTAGCATTAACATTTGTGAGAATGATTGCGGTCGTGCAAATTGAAGAGCCAGTGGAGCGCCGCAGGTGTATCAAGATGTGTCCGATTGCGCAAGCCAGCACGACGCGGACTCCACTCCGAACCTTTCCCATCAACCCATTATTACAAAAGCAGTTTCTACTTTGACCTAATCGCTTTTCCTAGCAATTTAGGAGGGTTTGAACATTATTCATGTTGAGAAAACTAACAACAGCTTTATGCGAGCTCTAGTTAGTGTCGGTCGGAGTGCCAGGTGGGCTAAGTATTGTAGGGCATGCAACTCGTATCTATGAATAGTATCGGGCCGGCATGCGGCCCAGAGGTCGGAGGCGGTTAATTGGCGAGGACTCGTCGCGGCCGGTTTGTCCGCCGGTCATTATTTCACGGCATTCCTAGTCCATAAGATCGCTTCGCTCGCTCTTCTCCAACAACGCTATTAGTGATTGATTAAAGTGGCACATCCTTTATCCTTTCCCTTTATTAGAATCTGTGATGCGGAGGTAATTTTTCAAAATAAATAAATTACCTACTCCCCAAAATATATTTTTCACGTGTCACGCAAAGCGTTGTCTAACATGCAACATAATACGTGCCACGTTACGCACAGGTTTCCGAAGCCAGTGTAATCGGAAATTAGGAATCCCCTCAAAAACCAACCGACCCCAAAGTTATCGTTTTGTTTCCTAGCAATATTGATCCGTTATTTCAATCCGTTAAAAGTAACGTAGCTATTATTTAGGGTTGAGGACATGCAGTCAGGTAGTACTTACGTAGGTAGATACCTACTAGGTAACTAGATATATTACTTATTACAGTAGTTTTATGTAAGTACTTAGCAGTCTACGTAAAGCAAATGTGACTAAAGTGCGCTTATCACCATAACAATCGTAAGACAGGCATCAAAATTGTTGCCCGTTTCCTCGAATTACGGAAACTGGTTTTGTTTGGCTCTCCAACGTAACCTTCGGGGTTAAAACAATTCATTTGAAGAATGTGTTTTACTCGGTTTGATATTTTAGTCTGCGTTTTGGTCGAGGCCATTGCTCTCGTCTAAGCGAAAAAACGGGGAACAGTTGTCGACCGGGCGGCGGGGATTCACGGTCGAGCGCCCGCCACCTGCTCGCGAGCCCCCGAGCTGGGAGGACAATATGCCACCTTCCGGAGGTGTTACTCACTTTTGGCAGGCATTAGAATAATGCACTACACAGGTCTTATTAACAATAAATTAATTAAAATTTAAACGTCTCTCTCTAACCACCTGGCGAATACACGATCATAGAGTGATACGGGTGTTATTGGATTTGAGGATTTATAATGATTAAGTTAAGGACGCTGATTCGACTACGACTAAAAATAAATTCAAATACGGGCAAGACCATTGATGTGTCACTTACATAAAGATAAGCATTCTAACTGTAGTTGCAACTAAAGCTACAAACAAAAACACTTTAATTTAAGTGAAAGAAGTGCCAAAACCGGCATCTAATTAAATGTAGAGTCCTCTTGAAAAACTTTAGTTTTCAACCTGTAAACACGAATCTAAACAAGTTAAAATTGATCATTACAATCACCTTTATCAGCTCCTGTCTTCTTCACAATTTATTATGTTAAAATAACTTCTCTTTTGGCATTATGAAATAATGTGAATGCATAACGGAGGTAATTTCAGAAGTTGCGCTAGCGCGCACGACAGCTTCGAGTGGTGATTGAGTGAAGTGACAACAATCAAATTGTTCGCTTGCATTCTTCGGTCGAGACCTCATGCAGTTCCGTATTGAATGTTACGTGTAATCTATTTTGCGGCAAGTGCACTATCTACTTGCTGAGATTCCAACATTACTTTCACCTCTACATTTTGAATTAGTAGATTTACAAAAATACTTGGTGATAAGGGCTGATTTTTTGTGAAGTAAAGTGAGATTTTATACTAAAAAGTATAAATAAAAATAATCACTTGTACACACAGTTTCGAGCGAAAGCTCCCTCAACAGTTAAATAGCTACTGTTTTTGCAGGTTTACCTATCTACAAATGCCTTTTATGTTAAGTTCTAAAAAGATAACGTTAAATCATGTGATTAAACGACTGATTGGAATTGATTGGACACCTAAGTAGGTATCCAATATTCTGTCGTAACACAATTTATTAAGCTCTACAAAAGCTTAGTGTCATAAGTGACTTTAGATTAACTCATATCGTAAACCAAGCTTTTGTAGAACTTAATTGTAATTTAATTATGTAAAAAACATAACAGAAAATCAAAAGCCTCACAAATGCTGAAAAGCAGCGCAGATGTTCAAGTTAAAATGGTTCTATATTGGCTCACATAAAATTCTAAATCCTATTCTTCGTCTTACTACCGATTTGTGTTCATAATAATCTCTCTTCATAATTTTATTTTTCATACTTTTTTTATTCATACATTTTTATTACTACCATCGGAGCTTATAACAGTTACTAATCATATTTTTTTTATCAATACTGTTACTACCAAGAACCATTTAAAATACATAATTTTTATTTTCAGATCTTTTTTCTTCATAACATTCATTGATCATATTGTTTTAATTAATAATGTTGTTACTAAGAACATACTTCAACTCATAATGTTGTTGTTCAGAATTATTTACTTTATAACAGACATACACCCCCAAGGGTGGAAAATTGGGGATGAACTTTTTTATACGCAATATCTCCGCCGATTATAAACCAATTTGAACGATTATTTTTTTGTTGAATAGGTATTATCAAAAGGGTGGTCTCATGCGAATTTGAAGAAAAACTGGTCATGGTAGGTACAACTCCTTAATGCTTAGGAGTTGTAGGATAATTCTTTAAATATTATAAGTACAAATAGACCAACAGTTGTATTCTTTCATGTTTTTAAGGTGGGCTGACGGTTTAAGGTCTTTTTAGGTTTCCTATAATTATGGTAACCTGTATTTTGTAGGGAATATTATTTTACACTAGACATGAAGAATATGGTCTCAATGTACTGCCTACCTTCAGTGGTAACATCAAGGTAATAATTAGTTAACTAAAAAGCAAAAAATAAGTAAAATTTTATAAAAAAAAAACCGACTCCAAAAAACCTACACTAAAAAGTAGAAAAATAATCACTAATTACCTACTTATTTATTAGGACGAATTATTAATATTTATTTTTACTTTTTAGTGTAGGTTTTTTGTTGTTGTACAACTTTTAACTCAAACTTCCGATTAAATTTATCTTACAAACAGATACACAGTCACATAGACAGACATACATACAGTCATAAAGACAGACAGACAACAAAAATACGAGGCCCTTATTTTTTTATTGATGTACTGAACTCTACTTACCACGTATAATTTATTAGTTACTAAAATATTGTAAAAACATAAACACCAGTCACTATATTTTAAAATAAACCAAAGCAAGAAATCACTTTCGTGGCCTAAAATCACCTTCGTGTATAAAACACCACGAAGGTGATGTCACGAAGGTGACGAAAATTTTAGTTTTTTATGAATTATCCTTAAATTTGAATTTAACGGTTCAAGTCGAATACTACACAAATAAGTCTAACATGTTAAGTTTTCAATGGGCTAAGTTTCAATTAAATTGTTTAAATTTTAGAGGTAGAAAATATTGTTCAAGCAAGCGCCGGTATATCTATGGATAATCACAAAAATTTACGTATTTTTTTCGCGGAGCGACGATCGACCTATCTCACCTCCCCAATGGCCGGAGGGCGACTGACGTTAACCAAATAGAACGCTGTGGTTGGTTGCTGGTGTTCGGTTTAACGGCAATCTTGTATTATTACTCAAAATTTTAGGTACCTAAAATCGTGTGACCAACGTATTTCGCTTTCTCAATTCGAAATAATTGTAAGAAGATATTTTTTTGACTATTGTGTGGAAAGTATATTTAATTACGATGATTTTAGTATATGCTACACGCAAATTGAATGAAAATTGTGAATGCAGTAACCAAATGTTTCATTGCAACCGAAGGTGTGACACGATGAGAACGCGAAAAATGACCCCGTTTTTTATCGTTTCNGTTCATACAATACATTAGACGCCAAGACGCCATGTTGTCATAAACGACATATTATAAAATCGCTGTGATTTAATATTCTTAATCATTAATTTTATGGCAAGTGTCCATCAGGAATCATTGTTCTTACACACAGAATCGTATTATTTCGCTTTCGGGTAGTAATATGTCAAAATTGTTGGTTCTTAGGCGAACAATGTATGGAGAACGAACATTGTCCTTTGAAGTATTTTCATCGATAAAATTGTCCATAGATTACGCCCTTAAAGTTTGATCACTACATGCCCGGACACACTGTATAAGATCGCTGAGCACCCGTATCAATAAGAGCTCGAACGGTTATTCTATTCGAGTCCTTGTCCAAGACATTCACTGCAAGGGTCTGTAACAAAGTGACAGTATTAACTTGTGACGACGACATCGCTGCACTAATGTCTTTTGGTTGTTCCTCAGCTTTCGCGGCACGGTTTATATCAGGACACATTATAGTCGTATGTCGCCTTGCACAAATAAGACATTTTATATAATATTTACATACTTTAGCATGATGTCCGATACGCAGGCAAATCATACAACCTCTCTTCTTCTTAATTACTTCTTTCTTGTCGTCGTAACTCATCTTTGCAAGCTTGAAACACTCGAAGCTGGAGTGGGTCGATTTATCACACCATATACACCCTACCACACGATTCGAATCTTTACTGGTACCCGCTACTAAACAAGAAGCTGTTGGTTCCTTGTTGTATTGCGCTGAATCTATACTGAAAGACGNCCTTGTTGTATTGCGCTGAATCTATATTGAAAGACGTTTTCGCTACCGCAATGCGCTCATTACTCTCAACTTCCTTTTGCAAAAATTGTAGTAAATTGGAAAGTTGTTTACCTGTGTCATCGCTTTTGTTATCTCCAGTTTGGTACCTTTCGTAAGCTTTAAGTATATCCGTAGGCAGCGCAGACTCCACTAGAGGCAGCAGCATGGCGGCGTACTTGTCCGATGTTACTTGTAGCGACTCCAGAGCTCGCAGATAAGTTGTCAACTTGTCGTAGAGGTTGGTCAGCGAAAGAGGCTGTTTTANCTCCAGCTTGGTACCTTTCGTAAGCTTTGAGTATATCCGTAGGCAGCGCAGACTCCACTAGAGGCAGCAGCATGGCGGCGTACTTGTCCGATGTTACTTGTAGCGACTCCAGAGCTCGCAGATAAGTTGTCAACTTGTCGTAGAGGTTGGTCAGCGGAAGAGGCTGTTTTACCTGTGATAAAGTCAAATTTAGTAAATCTCTCACGTACACATCAATCAGCAGATTATCTCGCGCAAACCTCTCTTTCAATTGCGACACCGCTTTGTCATAATTCTCGGCGGCTGGTGGGAAACTTTCCACAAGACTTCTGGCCGACGAATTCTCTTCCATGCATTGGATAAGGTATTGAAACTTGTCATACTTATCTATTAGCGGGTCTTCGTCTACTTTTTTGAATTGGCCCCAGAAGCCAATCCAGCTCCTTACGTTTCCGTCGAATTTTCTGAGTTCCAATTTGGGCAAGTTAAAGTTTCGCTTATAACCAGCACTCTCGCAGCTGCATCCATCAAATTTCAAATTAATTTAATGTTAAAATACGATTTAATACGAATATAGACATCATGATTTTCAATAATATGGATAAATACATTTATGAGTAATAAATTTATGAAAACAAATATTAGGATACATCACATTTATGAATATTATAGTTATTTATTCGAATGATTAGAGTTTCGATCATTAGTATAGAAAAATATATGAAAACAAATATTAGTAAAAACTAAGTGTATGATTAGTGATATTATGAATATCAATTATTATGTTTTTAAATATGTAGGTTTTAAATTTTTTATGAAGAATGATCATTATGGTATCAAATTCTATGAGAAATATTTTCGGACCTCCAATGATAGGAATTAAAAAGTTATGTAAGAAAATGCGCTACCAGTTAAAATATATGAGAAAATATTGTAAGTAGAGCTAATTAAAGCAGGCTCTGATCAGATCGAACTGCGTGTAGTGTCAATGAGTGCGGCGAACATAAGCTGCAGGCTTAGCCGGGAGGCTGCGCGGACGCACGGGGTCGATGCACTGCTCCGAGGAGTCTGCACTCTAGCCCTGCCCCTTCGTCCTCTCCCCGCTACGCGACCTTTTTCATCTCTAAAACACATGAACTGCCGATCGACACTCTATATCAGTGTTTTTCAACCTCAGTAAAAATCATTAGTTACAAAGATAAAATTATCCGAAATTTAATTACACAATTATGCATTAAAATGTTGTATGGACTGAAGTATTCGGTCCCTATAAACATCTTTGTAACATTATAAAATGCATGAGAAAAAAAGTGAACGGTCGTTGGGTCGCCAAATATTTTTTCATACTAGGGGGGTCGTGTCGTGAAAAACGTTGAAAAATACTGGTCTATATTGATAAGAACAATCAAATACTTCGTTGCTACGAAAGTTCATATTTTGATAGAGGTGGATCACCAGCTGTGATCACAAAGTAACTTTCAGTACCTTTCAGTACTTAATCCGTCTACTAAACAGCCTAAGGCTATATCCAATTCCAATCACATTAAACCTGAGTTAGAGTTGCGAGCAGTATAATATACCTTTTGGGCTTTGGTTTTAATATTCACGTTTAGTTACATGAATTTGAAATGTTTGTCACTGCTTTAGGACATATTTTTTTCACCTTGTAAATAGCTTTTAAAGGATTATTTAATATTAAGTACTTGCTTACTGCTTTTCATACCTGCGTTAGTAGCCGGTTACGTGTTACGTGCAGTTACTATGCATCAGGTTATTATCCAATTTTAAGAATTACTAAAGTCTGGCCGGAATTAATTAAAAACAAAAGGTAAGGTACAAGTTTACAAAACAGTTTCTTTAAAAAGTTGCAAAACTAAATCGTGAATTGTTATTATTTTTTTGCAAATAATTATGCAGTTTTTTACTATTCAAATTAATTTTAGGAAGGGATTATGGTAAATCGTATCCTAAACTTCCGTTACTTACATACGTATATAGCTTTTTTAGTTTTACGTTGTGTTAATGTAGGGGATACAGATAAACCTTGAAGGTACCAAACAACCGATTTGAGATCCTCCTCCTTTTGTTGAAGTCAGTTAATAAAATTATGAAGCTACACTGAGACAACTCGTAATTTTTATTTTTCGATATTATAATACTGGTTCTGTTCCTTAGCGTACTCGAAGTACTACGTGAAGCGTTCTGCGCTGACATTTGCAAAATATGACGGCATTAGAGAGATAATGTCAAGGGAATTAACGATTCAGCCTTTTGTTCAATATTACATGATAAAATATCATCTTAAGTAGGTATTTCACCATGAACTACGTAGATATCCTACTTATCTTGTGATAGAATTTAGGTATCAGAAAATTCATTTACATACTTAGCTATTCTATTTATTTTAATAATTTTAATTGAATAGTTAGTTGTTAGTTTCCATAAACAATAATGTGTCGTATTTATATAACAACCAGTTAAATATAGGGTTAACTCACAATTAACTACGCGATTAAATCCTCCTGGATTCAACATAATTATTAAGATACCACAGAGCAAGTTTATTCACTGTGTTTTAAAATAAAATAAATGTCACTGTCTGTCATCAATCAAACGACGATGAAAATTAGGAATATATTTTTTTATAAAAAAGCAAACTAAATATTTTAAGAAGGTAGGTTCAATTACAGTTGAAAAATGCAAATCCGTATCCTAGTTCCCTCCAGTTATAATCTCTGTAGGAATACCCAGGGCCGTCTTTTACCTCTTCGGGCCCTGGGTACCTAAGGATCAAGGGCACCCTTTTCATCTTGTCTTTTTTGAGAGCAGGCGGGGATCCTCTCGCTCCACGGGGCCCTGGATACATGCCCAGAGTACCCAGTGGGAAAGAGGGGCATGTGTATACCAAAAACCATTAATGTTGAGAAAGTTCTCTACTGTGTAGATACCTGTCTACTCTGTTATTGTAAGGTTACGTTATATTTTACAATAAAAAACTACTTTATTATATAGCAAGTTTGTTGGACAGATATAAAGAACTGATCTGATGATTAGGTATCTTCTAAAACAAGGACTCAGAATGATTACGCACTTCATCCGATCCAAATCTATAGGAAAACTACTAACGGCTTGTTATCCTTGTCATAATCTTTTTTCACGCTGGTAATCGCCCTTACACTGTCGAGGCCAATATAGTAGCATGGACTTTATTATTAGGGCTAATTATTTATCCCTAAATCTCTATACATATCCAACAGCGGACTGCTATGGGCTGTTGATGGTGACGATAACTTTGTATATTTTCCAGGGCTCGTATTATATTATGCAGCAGTGGACTGCTATAGGCTTATGATATGATGAAGATTGATAGACCGACGATCTGGTAAAGGTCGCGGGAGGTGCCTGGATGCGAGCGGCGCAGGACCGGTCTTTGTGGAAATCCTTGGGGGAGCCTTTGTCCAGCAGTGGACGTCTTTCGGCTGAAACGAACGAACGAAAGAAGATTCAATTTATTATCTTTTCCAGGATTGTAGCAATGTACGCGACATCGACGACGTCGACGACGTCGGGTTCGGGGCGGTGCGCAGTGGCGGCGGGCGCGGAGCGGCGCGTGCGCGTGGTGCGGCTGCTGCGCCCGCGCCGCGCCGCGCCCGCCTTCGGCTTCTCCCTGCGCGGCGGCCGGGAGTACGCCACCGGCTTCTTCGTGTCCAAAGTCGACTTCAATTCCGAAGCACATCTCCAAGGACTTAAGGTTTGTCTGAACTTTCTTTAACGGGTCATGGTTTTGACGTTTTATTAGCGTCAGGATATTCAGGGTAATCATCGGTTATTACGGTTCAACATTTATTTTTACAAGGACGTAGAAATTTAATTCTAAACTCTCTTTATAAGGTTTTTTTTATCAAATAATTTCCATGAAGTACGTCGTGTCCTCTACATGTAAATAATGTAAATTATGGTAATATAATAAAATCACAGGTGTATAAACCTAAAACCATAAAATATTCAGAAAGTCCATAGGTAATCACACAGTCATGTTCAATAAACACCAACACCTGTTCTCTATAGCTCGTTTTGTTCTTTGTTCGCCTTAAATAGTTACATTGTGCTAAAGTTCTTATTCTTTTTACACGGTTATTGAGCAATGGAGCATTATAGCATTGTTTAATAATTTCTGTGTTTGTTTCATACATACATGACCACAAGGGAAGATTGGATCTTTGTTGTTGACAGTTTTTGTCGTCGTAACCTATTGCACAGGTTCCCACAGTTCCTGTACTTGTCCGAAGCTGGGCGCGTGCGAACGCCTCATCTGTATGTAATTAACTCACTGGGCTGGCTCGCTGCTAGTTCTACATAATTACTTACCTACATTCGAGGCTAAATTGTCGTAAGACGCATTGCATTCTTTTCACCGCTTACGCAACAGAATTGCTGTTGTTTCCTTTGGAACTCAATCTGAGGTTCCATTGATGATCACAGTGTCAAAAGCATCTAGGTCAGACATTTTGTGCAGATTACGTTGTAGTCGTTGGAACGTTGTCGCTACGTTGAATAATAGCGAGCAATAGCACTGATAAAGACGATTGCGTGCCACTCCTAACGACTTCTTATACTCTACTTAAAGCGGTCAGGTGCATGTATTGTAAGAGTATGTGATAATAAGATAAATCTGATCACACTTCTCTTCTATGTTTGTTTCATGTAAGTACGTACCTACATAGCATGCTTAGCGCTTATGATATTCAATTATACAACACGTTCTTTTTGTCCGCACAAGAGAAATGCTACTTTCTTCTAAATTAAGTGGTGTACCATACCAGAATAAAGAAAGATATGAGAATGAATGGATTAATTAAAATCTTGACCGTATTATAAATGCTGCTCTTCATAATTAGATAGCGTTAACGGCAAAAATGCATGCATTATTTGTCAGTGTTTCGGAATTTTATTTCACACGATTACTTCCCTAACAAAGAAGTTACGAAAAATTCACGAGTACATCCGCTGTTATTCAAACGTTACAATGGAGTATGAGACAATTGCAGCAGATAATCCTGGGAAGTGGACATGCTCAGCTTTGAAACCTGTACCTACCTACCGATGTGACTTGACACGAGTCAATGACTTGCTGATGCTAAATTTCAGGCGGCTGAAACCGATTTGAAAAGTGCAAACATTGTGTGAGTTCATTGCTTTCAATGCCGTTTCATTTACAGTGAAATCTTACTTACTACACAAATTAAAGTTCTCGATTCTACTAATTTTAATGCTGAAGTAATTAATGCTAGTTAATAATTTCTACAAGGTCTAAACACTGTTTACACGGGAAGTGAAATCCCTCATCCTGATAATTACATACGTGTGAGTGAAAAGATCTCAAAGCCTATATTCTTAGGTGCGATGCTAATTGCAGGAAAAGGCGTGTGTAGTGATTATGGTGATTTAGAAATAATGTTCTTTAATACAGTTGTAGCATAGGCGGAGACATTATATCATGAACAGGTTTTCATGTATATTATTGGTATGATGAAGGCATCCGAAGTGGAAAAGGTTCTGATGGCAGCCGACCGCATGCGACCGCACGCAATTCGGCTGATTGGCGACTTTCTACCGCGGTCCAGTCGCGTGCTTCTATTTGACTTAATGCTTCTTGTGTAACAGTTGCTAAAGTAGAAAAGCGCTACATAATGTTAATGTCCTTTGAACTACAAAACAGATGCTAAGTAACTAACATGGTTTTTCTCGTTACCACGTATGAATCTGTGACTTTGTAAACATTAATTTATAATTATTTAAGTAGTAACAATTTTATTTATCATAATATTGTATTGTATGAAATAATTTTGAAAAGACCACAAAATAACTAATATCAACAAATTCTAAAATTAGAAACATAATATTAGAATTGCGGCTAGCAAGTTTGTGTTATAGTTTGGAAACAAAAACTCTACATCCGAAGCAAATTGTTATCGCTGCATGAGTCACAGATTACACGCAAATATCACATAAAACGCAAAATATTGTGTGTGTATTCAGGTGCTTCATATTGATTGAGTGGATACCTATCTCGTAGTGTTCCATTCGTGATGAAAGTGAATGTCAAACAGTATTTTAGATGAATTCGTAAAGTTGCATAATTTCTTATGCATAATAATTAAATTAATTTACTTTTCCTTCCGTGTGACACAAAAACATTTATAATTCAGTCAATAATTGCAATTTACAATCGAATTTTAATTTGACAAACTTTTAGGGATAATATAATCAGGTTTCAGATAAGTAGCTTGCGTTAATTGCATTACAGATCTTATGGAAAGTGATATTAAATTTCTGAAATCCGGGCGTCATGGAGTCTGGGGATCCTACTGCGTCACTCGCAAAAAGACGAGTTGGAACGAAAGTTCGATCGAAAGTTGCCCGATATGTGGGGCACGGTTCGACCTGTCCGGCTTCTTTTACTCGGCCGAGACGAACGTGAAGAAAGTACTGCTTCGTCACCGCGCGAGGCCGCGTGCGGCGTGACACCGCGGGCGCACCGGCGGCCGCGGTTACACCTGAGCGACCAGCGTGACGTCATATCATATCACTTCATTCATACACCACTAAATTAGATATACGGAGTACGCACGCTATCCATCACTATCCAAGTAATGTTTTGACAATGTTTTCTTCCACAGCGGATCATTATGATCTGGTTTTTAAATGAAGAGAGTTAATTTTCGAGATTTTAGAAAACGGGAGGATATAGTGAAGTCGTAGAGGTCCTTCTATTTTAGTCAATTTCACAATCATTATACTTAGAGAAAATAATACAATCCCACGATGTCTCTACATTTTTAAAGACTCATTACGTGAGGGGCCTTGATACACCACTGAATAATAATTAAATATTTAATGCTTGATACACTTGATTTTAGTATCATACGTTAAAATTCAGAATTTAACCAGGGTTCTGCAAATACCTCTGGATTAGCGCATGCTTAAAATCGCCCAACAAGTAACGAAAGTAGGCCAGGGTTTTTGTTCTTGTTTGGGGCTAGGAATTTATGTAAACCACAGTTGCTGTCCATTTCTGAAGTGACTAATTGATCTAGAATCAGAAGAATTTATCCATTTCAGGTTCGGTCGCCCTTAAAAGTACCTAAATACCTAGGTCAGTTGATGCAGATTTGGTTGATCGAGATAAGCGGATGGTTTTTACATACTCGTACTTGCACTTATTAAACAATCGCCGGCAACGATAACCTCAATGATAACCGACGCAATCCTATGAAGAATAAGCTATGAATAATGCTCCCATGTATCTTTGGGCGTTCTCGTGGCGCGGCCTCGTTGCGTCACGTCTTGCGGAGCAGGGAGCTGCCATTCTGCCATGAACCACCTGCCGAACTGTGGCGCAATTTCTGACAACTAATAATACCGTATTATGGATAATATTTTGTATACAATATAGTAAAGCGGCTATGATTAGTTATAATTGGTACCTTTACCCTAACTCGACACACATATTAAAACTCAATTATAAGAAAGAACTGGGATTAAGTATATTTGATTGTAGAAACATTACTATTATCAGAGCGTGATTTACGATTTTACTGCCCTTCAAATTTGTATGGATAACAAAGCGGTGTTTTCTAATGTAGCACCGAATTACAACATAACTTTTGAGATAGATTAAGTTAAAGGCCGTGCGGGTTCCGAACTTTAGATAACTATTGTACAACTATTGCGACTAACCCATAAGAAATTTGGTTCATAACTGAAATCATATGAAAGTGGTTGTTTGTGATTTCATGTTTGAAGTTCACTGAACGCTTGAAGATTTATTAGATTAAGTTACCTAAGTAAATTTTCGTTGCGCAGTCTGTGGCAGTGCACTCCTGATTTCGCTTCCACCTTTGCATAAATACAGTCTCTTAAACCAGTCTTAATCTCCGCCTAGAGTCCTGAACTGTAAAAATGTATACCGATGAAAGTTGGATATAATAATTATGTGGCATTTTTAATAGGGTCCAATTTCAACCACGACATCATTCATTGAACTTAATATTAATTCCTATCCATAAATTACTACAGGTTGGCGATCAGTTGGTGAGCGTAAATGGATACCGCGTGGATGATGCCGTGCACTCAGAGTTGGTGCACTACCTTGCCTCGCAGACCCGTCTCAAGATCAAAGTTAGAAGTGAGTAATTTATTAAAGTAGGAATTGTATAAGAGAGAATAAAAGAAACAAGTTTGAATCAATTAATTAAAGTTATTCAATCGTAGTTATTTTGAGCTATCTACTCTACCTCTTGTAGACGGCAGGAAGTAAGAATATATCTCAAGCAAATTTCGATTTTAAATAACGATCAAGGAAGATGATTTACATAGAAGCATAATTTATTAGTTGCCGCGTAACACCCATGTCGCCGAACTTGGTTACGTGGGTGTAGATTGTGAATTGTAGTTGCAAATATCATTATGCTAATTAATCAAAACTCACCGATGTTATGTCATTACGAAGATTGTGTGATTGTCGGCACCGATTTTTGTAAGTGTGATAATCGTGAAAGCGCGTGGGCAGCCTGGCTCAAAATCGGTCTCCAACATTATACGTTGCGTAAATCGCCACTCTATCGAAATGGAAAGTCTGGCTCCCGGACTGCCCAGATTCTATTTCGATAGAAACCTTTATAACCGAATCGAAGACACGATGGAAAATAAAACTATAGAAGTGTGCCCAATTGTATCTTATACCAACGTTGTTGCTCGCTAGTACCTTAGGACTTTTTATTGTGAGTTAACGAAGACATTTCGTAATGTAATTGCAAGAGTGGCACGCTAATAGTCTTCAAATTCTCTAGCCAACAATTTTTTACCCTACATTTTTACTAATCATCACTATCATCTGTGATCACCATAATCCCTTAGAAAGTAGGAAGTTCAATCTAAAAACAAGTAGGTATATTTTGTATTTACAAGCTCTGTTTTTATTCCAGATGTCGGAATGTTACCTGTCAAAGAGTAAGTTTTTTTCTTATACTTAAATATCGTTATCGATGAAATCGTAAAAGTTTGCTTTCCGGTTTTACGGAAAACTCTATCTTAGGTAGGCTCACTCCACTCGAAGCCTCGTAATTATTCGTTATCTACTTACAGGTTTAATCAGGAAACCTTTCACGTCTATCATCCTCTTAATTCCACATTTACCTATGTTTTACTAATAAATGATTTCATCATGCTGAATCAAAGGTGCTCACGCGCGGCTGTCCCCAAGGATCGGTCCTAGGGCCCTACCTTTGGAATTTGGGTTTCGATGATTTTCTAGCATTACCATTACCCGAAGGCTGTTCGTTAACCGGGTACGCTGATGACGGTCTCCTTTTAATAGAGGCTGACACTAGATCAAAGCTTGAAAATCTAGCGGATACATGCTTGAATTTAATATCTCAATGGGGAGACAGAAATCGTTTGCAGTTTGCCCCTCACAAAACTTATCAGCTTCTATTAAAAGGTAATCTTAAAGTTTTGCCTCGCATTAAATTCAATGAAATAACTGTTAAAAAACGGGAATCTGTTTGCTATCTCGGACTAATTTTAGAGAAAAACTTTAGTTTTGTCGAGCACATTAAACAGATCGGTGAAAAAGCTAAAAAGAACTTTTATGCCTTAAGTCACATTTCAACCTCGACGTGGGGTCTAACGTTTAAAATCCTCCGAGTAATATATTCGGCCACTTATTTAAGCTCCATTTGCTATGGTGCACCAGTTTGGGCTGACAGAGCTACTATAGGAGCCGCTCGACGGAAACTACTCCAAAGTCAACGCCTTGCATTGATTTTTCTTTGCAAAGCTTACAGAACTGTGAGCACGGAGGCTCTGCCAGTCCTGGCTGGTGTACTGCCGGTCGACTTAGAGGTACAAAAGCGTGCGGCTATGTACTTCGCATCAAGGGAAAATATAACCTCCGATTTCTTAAATAGCCGCGATCGTTCTAAAATAAGTCGATTATTTGATTCCCGAGAAGTCGTTGAAGAAGATTTACTTAATGAATGGCAAAAAAGATGGGATACGTCAGTCAAAGGACGTCACTTATATAAATTCTTCCCGAATGTACGCGAACGTCTAACTAGGCGATGGTTAGAAATCGACCATTGCTCGTCGCAGTTCCTCACGGGACATGGCAACTTTAAACATAAACTTCACGAATTCAAACTAGTTCCGTCTCCTTTTTGCGAGTGTTCCACTGATGATGTCAGTCATGAGCAGTCTGCCCATCATATCTTGTGGGAGTGTGATCTTTGGAAACATAAACGTGATATAATGCTTAATTCAATACAACATACATCTGTTTCCGCAATTTATTACACCGATCTTGTCGCGACAAGGAAAAATTTCCGTGCTTTTAAGCGATTTTGTGAAAAATATTATTGGCAGGTAGTTGCTAATTGCTCATAAGATAGGCCCCTTTAATTTAATTTATTGTCCGTGGTGCATAATCTTTTTCTTAAAGGTTTTAAACCTTTGTTTGTCACCTGTCATCCGCTTTGCAATGAAGGGAAGTCGAACCTTAATTTCGAACTCCTCCTATGTTCTTCTGATTAATTTCGTTGCGGGTCCAATGACAGTTTAACTTTCCCCCGGGACAAACTTGACCTTCTTGGTTGGGTTTTTATGGCGGTCAAGCTGTAGATCCTGGCTACACAGGAGTTGCAGTGGTGGGAACGAGAGGTGGGAATAGTCCCGTAATAAATGATTTGATTTGAAGTCTATTATTTTTGTCTGTGAGAATACTATTCTAACATGTTACACACTCGTACGATGATAAGACAAGACGTATAAGTTGTAGTAAAAGCTAAGCATTAACCAAAAAGCGCATATCTGCCCAATATTTACATGTTGATTGTGGTCTGTCCAAATATGTATTTTTTGTCGTAGCAAAGCGCACGAGTCTTTGTCATGGCAATTCGTGTCGGATCGAGCCTCGCTGGGTTCGGACGTGTCGTCTTCGCCCACCCTGTGCCACGACACAGAGCGGCTAGCAGACATGCGACTCTCAATACTGGTGCCCCCGCGAGCCAAGCTTGGATGCGGGTGAGTTCAATCCAGATGATTACCATACCAGCTAAAGACCCTATACACTTGCACTCCTCACCTTACCTCACACACAACACATCTACACTTTTACACACGAGCACAATAGGTATGCAATTATGCATACACTCAACACTCATTCCTAATGCCCTTTCCTATCTTTTGATTTATTATATCCTTATATTGGACTTCTGCTTAGCCGTACTAATACTACTCGTAAATCGTGATTCCTTTCTCCACCCACAGGACAGGCAATGCCTAGTAGCAATAAATATTTTTACTTTCATTCATTTTCATTTTCACTTCGTTTCATTTCAGTTACTGCATGATGATAATGATACGTTACCATAGAGTCGAACTTAAACATTACAAAATGTTTACGAATTTCATGAAGCATTCACAAAGCAACTCCAAGATTGGCTTGGAGTCATCTTTCGCTTTCCATATTACCTAAAACCGTATCAAGTTACGCTATGTACATTTTAGTGTTTGAATTGGTAGCTCCAACAGGCTAACTTTCATCATATCGCATTTACTTGGCGTCTAAATTCCACCACAGGCATTGCTTGTTGTTTTTTTTAATAATGTTTGTTTTTACAGAATCTGTAAGGGCCCCGACTGGAAGCCGGGCATTTTCGTTCAATTTGTGCGCGAGGGCGGCATCGCGCAGGAAGCGGGGCTGCGGCCGGGGGACCAGATCCTGTCGTGCAACGGCCAAGATTTCACTAACGTAACTTTTAATGAGGTACGTTGTTTATTTTTATGATTTTTAGCTGCTTTAAATCCAAGATTTTAAACTTTCGCGTTCCATTTCAACTAAAATACTAAGACACGGGTCTTAACGCGACGTTTATTAATGAGTTACATTATGTACTCACGGCTTGACGTTTCTTTTTACTTTAAATCTAAAAAAATTCATGTCGGAGACCCTCTTTAATTGTTACATCCAGTAAAATCCGATTTATCTATACATAAGCACATAGGCCTAGAGTTTTGATCTTATACTTTCTAATAAGTAGAAGTAATGCCTTTTAGGCTAATTTGCGGCTTTTAGAAAGTGTAGGTACAAAATATTATACAAAAAAGACTCGATATGGTGAAAATCTACATAAAGCGTAGTTTGCAAATCACAGTAAACTGTTGAATGAGTAAGAAGTATTCATGTGTTCTGTTTTGATTTCAGGCAATATCAGCGATGAAGGCCGTAGGGCGTCTCGAGCTGGTGATTCGAGAGGGGGCTGGTACGGAGCTGGTGTCTCCCGAGAGCTCTGGGTACAACAGCTCGGCGTCGTCGGCGGCCGGCGAGCGCAGTCCTGCGCCCACCGTGGTGCCGCTGGCGCCGCCGGCCGCCCTGCGCAGGCGCCTCGCCAGCGTCGCCGAAGAAGCCGCTGACAGGGCTGATAGGTACACCAATGCTAGACACATAAAATAAGGATGGTCACGTAGTTAGTACCCTCAAGCGCAGCATATGACGTCCATTGTTTTTTAACGTTGAGAAATGCTTAGCGCATACCACTCCTTGGTCGATGGGGATGGCCAACCCACGGTGGGTTATGTGGCACTCTCCCCGCCTGCTCACTAAGGCTCTTTTCACACGTCCCGGTTGCCGGCTAACCGGCGCCGGGTACCCGGTCGTGAAGTGTATGGGCATGCCGGATTAATTACGCCGGTACATGTGAAAGCTACGTACCATGCCCATACCTCTTCACCACCGGCTACCCGGCGCCGGGTACCCGGTCGTGAAGTGTATGGGCATGCCGGATTAATTACGCCGGTACATGTGAAAGCTACGTACCATGCCCATACACTTCACCACCGGGTACCCGGCGCCGGTTAGCCGGCAACCGGGACATGTGAAAAGGGCCTAAAGGTGGAGTGCCGACTCTTATTATTACGTGCTCTATGGGTTACGGGTTGGCCGACAGGCCGGCCGGACGCAAGTGAGAAGTTAACCATCCGCGTGAACAGACCACGCAGACGTTGCCCAGGGTGCACCACGAGGAGGTTCCTTACCATCGCACCCCAGCATATGACGTCCATCCACAAGGTTGACAGGATGACTTTATTATGGTTGCAGCAAGCCGCTGGATGCATGCTGCTTCCAACCGCCAATTTGAAATTATTGGGGAAGCTTATGAACAATGGCAAGAAAAATGTACATCATTTTGTTGAAAAGATGATGATGATGATTTGGTCATCAAGAAAAAAATATTTTACACTAGCGGCCGCCCGCGACTTCGTACGCGTGGATCCCGTTTTACCCCCTTCCCGCTTTTCTGTTGACATTTTTCCTGAATTTTCTTTGCTATAAAACTCACGGAGCCCGAGACCTTTCCAACGAATGCAAAACCGTGGAAATCGGTTCGAGCGTTCTGGAGTTATAGCGTCAGGGAGGAAAACCCGACTTATTTTTATATAGTAGATTAAAAGAGTCGCAGGCCACGTGACCCGCCAAGGCATTTGAATTTGCCCGCCATCGAGTTAGCCGGCGCGCGGTGGTATAAATGGCCTTATGAATTTAGTATAGATTGATTTGCTTTTGCTTTGATTTTCAAAAAGCTGGGCCCGCGTCGCCACAGTCTAAGAAAAGCTCATCTGGAATCTGGAAAATCTATTGGGCCTGCCTTGCTGTAGATACTACTGATAATGATGTTACATAGTCGGTAAAGATAGGTTCCAAAAAGCAACGCCCTAATAAGTTTATTTATCTAATCGTTTTATATAAAGTTACACACTCCTTGAACTTAGGGCCCTCTCCCACGGCGACTTTCAGCATGGCTACTAACGCGCGTTAGTCGCATTTGCAACGCACTACAGAAGTGATGCCAACGCGCGACTGCATCGCTACAAAAAGTCGCCGCGGGGCGAGGGCCCTTAGGTGATCGTATATTTAGATACCTACACAAAGAACTTTACTTAGATTAAAACATCTTAAAAGTCAAATAGGTAGGTACAATATTAAAAACTTTATTTATGTGTACTGCTTTGTTCCAGATTGACTATGAATAGACTAAAACGAAGAACGTGGGACAGTTTAGAATTTGATTGGAAAGATGGTGATGTACATAGTTTTGATATTGACGCGCCATCTGATATAGAGCCGGATTATGACTGTCCGAGCATACCAAACAATCCGCATACCTTTGAAAATAAACATAATCTAAGAAATAAGTCAAAAAAAGACTTTGTAACTGCTCCATCGAATAGAACTATAATTAATTTAACCGAAGACGGTGCTACAATTCAATGTAGTTATGATAACCATAACCAATCTCCTAGGAAAAGCACATTCACCGCAAATCACACGACTAGAGATAATAATGATAAAAAAACAATAGTAGTTGAAGTTCATCACACCAGTGGTCCTACAACCTGTCCAAAAACGCACAGTAACTATCCACCGCCCCCGAAGAAAGAAGACTTGGACTCCTCCAGTATATCGAGTTCAGCTACGCTATCGAGTGCCATTGCCGATGAGTTGCAGAGGCGGAAATTGGTAAAATTTATAGTTTTAACTACCATAACTATATAAAACACGTATAGGATTATTTTTATTCTAATTTATAGGCACAGATTTCAAACAACCTTTATAGACGCGACATCGTAAAGGTAGCAGGGAAGCGCTGGATAAAGGCCGCTACCAATCGATCAACGTGGAAAGCATTAGGGGAGGCCTATGTTCAGCAGTGGACGTCCTATGGCTGAAATGATGATGATGATGATGATTATAGACGCGCTTGAAAATTATCTCACAAATTCAGGATGCACACATGTCTCAAATCCAATAATACCTACTCTATTTAATCGTTTCCTTAATTTTTTATCATATAGGTACTCATGCTTCTAAATATTTACAGAAAAAGACATCGAATTCTATAGAAAATAATCCAGCGCCAAATCCGCCGAAAAAATCTAGCATACCAAAAATCGCAAGTAATGATCAGAAGAAGCAGCACGACGCCCTAATGGACGAATTCAAAAAAGTGCATAGGAAAATGTTTGCTAACCAAGATGAGACCACCACAAAAGATGGCACTGAGACCGACGTTGACAGCTTGGTAAGTAGGCATGGCCCTTGTTTATTCAAAAATTCTAGAGCGTTGAATCGTGCGGGTCGAGAACACTAGAGCCTACGTGACTGATATATGAATTGATTTAAGCTACTTTTGAATACTGTTTTGGGCATATCAATCAATGCTCTATAAATATACTTAATTTATATGTAACTATAACTTTTACCAAAGTTTTTCTATTGACATTGTTATACCTACTGCAGACGCAGTTTTGTAGAATTGGAGGATCTTCAGCCAAAGGTTCCGGCTTCTATTCAAAAGCGGGATTATGGAACATAAAGATCCTAAAAAGTTTCCTGTTTGATTCGGATCACCGATGCTTAATTGAAAATGAAAAATAAAATTCTTTAGTTTATTCCTTGGTCCGTTGTAAAACATTTCAAAAAGTATGTCACTAGGTTATTTTTTTCTTTTTAACAACAACCCACACGGTCCTACACGGTTATTTAGTGACGTCACAGGTTGCCAAGACTGTTTTACAGGACCGGTTACCAATAGTTATTAACAAAAAAAGATACGTAGTTATAATCAGATATATCATAATTTCATAGGTCAGTTTCATAAATAAAATTTAGTGAATTAATAGTGAATAATTATTCGGTCGGGTCTAATTATTTAAGATAATACGAGCTTTTTTATGCCCGAAGTTAGTTGGTATTAGTTTAGTTACTTTACTGTCACAGGAAAAACTTTATGATGCATATCCCTGTTTCAAATACCGGGAAAAAACTATCTATCTACCGGGACTCAAACTATCTCTATACATTCATCAAAATCGGTTCGTGAAAGCGAAGCGTATAACAGATAGACAGAGAGAGTTACTTTCGCATATTATTAGTAGGGATTTGGATCTGGTAAATCCTTATAAGGTTTTCCTTTTGTTCACAATTATGCATTATGTAACATTGGGACGTCTAAACGTGTAAAAGCGCATTTTTTAAAGATACTTTTTTATTTGCAGATAATATATTATTTTATTAGTTGACTCTCTACCTTCTTTAGTGACTCAAGGTTCTTCAGATAACTTTGAGTGCATTCTTTTATTTATCTCACAGAAGTATTGCTTATCATCATCGATATAAACTCTTAAGATGATTCTCAAGTACCTACGCACGTATGCAACATTAGGACTGCTATATCTAATACAACTTTTGTAAAACGCTATAAGCATAGAGGCACGACTTACTTTAAATAACTTTCATTATTTGAAAGGCTGTCCTCCGACCACCGAATTTTTTTGCCATGTACAAATTGTCGTTTCAGTCAAATGACGTCCACTGCTGGACAAAGGCCTACACCAAAGGTTTTCTATAATTGTACATTTATTAAAATCTAAGTAAACCTTATGAGAGATTGCCAACCACAATATCAATCAATATCACAAACTGTGTCCCCAGCATAAGAAATACTTGGAGACTCAAAATGTAGCTAAAGTAACTTAATTCAGTTAAAATGTCTCAGTTGTGATAAAGGTGTAATGGGTTGTAGCCATTGCGAAATGAATCTGATCGAATGGAACCAATACTTTACAGCAGTTGCCAAGTGAGGCGGCCTTGAATACGCCTTTGCCAAAGTCTGTAAACGTTTCGCTTTACTTGTTTATTGTGAATTTACTTAACACAATGTAGTAAGTTTGAGACAATGAACTAGGAAATACAGGATAAGACAGACATAATTTTACAAACTAATATTAGATGTTGGTGTACCTACGTGTTTCTTACGCCTTTTATATTATGAATGAAATATGAGAATTAATTTACCATTCATACATCTAATTAAATAACAGCTATTCATTCTAAAAATCTTACCGATGTCAAGGGTAAGGGTTATACAGATATTATATGATTTAAGGAGGCTGTGGAGCGAGTGGAAATTATAAATACGGAAAAAAACACAAGGGGGGCCGATTTTATTTTGATTAAAAAAAAGTAGTACCTAATGAATATTAAATCAGATTCTAGTCCCACATTTCTCTTTCTTGCAAGTGACTGTGTACATGTTATATCTACTTACACAATGCCCATGTTTTGAGAATAGTTTAGAAACATGTCAGCACATAAACAAAGGCCATCTCAAAACAAATATGACACTCAGGCTGAACAGTTGATTAATCCCACGTCTTAGCAAAATATTTTCCACAAATAATGATATCAAATGAGTGAATGATATCGGCAAACGTGCAAACACGTTCCATTTCATGATACCTATTCAAAAATATTTTTAATATGAAACAATTCGTCAATCTGCATTTAGAGTACCTATACATTATTAACAAATTTTCAAAGATATAGGGTAATGTAAAATGCTTTAGGAATAGGAACTTCATTTTAAGGAAACAAAATCACGTCTTATAGTACGAGAGCCCACGACCAAAACCATGTGTCATAGCAATACGGCAAAAACCCTATAAAATCGTTAGATTGTATGATTCTGAACCCGACTAGGTGTGTAGTAACGGTCGAAAGTGTAGCAACTGAGTGGGAGGCCATTTCTGCTGTGTCAAAAAAAAAAGACAGTCGGTATTATAGCAATACGTCTGATAGTGAAAATGTACATAGATTTTATAATTGTATTACGAAAAAGTTTGTTTTCAGACATTTTGCGCGTAGCATATAGCCTGTGCGCATTTTTGAAAATGTCAACAAATTTAGCCGACCTGTATCATAGCAATACGGATAATTATTTTTTTTAACTTTTTGTATTGCTGCCATGATTACCTAAAACCTGTTTTCAGACACTTTAAGTGTATCAAAAAGTTGTATGATAGAGAAGGTGCTACACTTAATTTGTCTGATATAATTTTTTTGCACATGTGGACAACTTATTTTATCATGTCCAACAATTTTCAGACATATTGCTATGATACCGATCGGTAAAATTTGTTAACATTTTCAAAACGATCTCAAAATTTAATGCGTTCACATTTCCGTCTGAAAATTGTTTTGTTCGCATCAAATAACCAAAATTTACTAATAAAAAAGATTTTCAGACGTATTGCTATGAGACATTTTTTTTGTCTCATTTTTAATTTTTTTAAGTGATTTTACGGGTTTGCGCTACACCACTAACGTCTGAAAATAATGTTTCCGGTATCTCAGAACTATCATTCAACTACAGTCTGCAAATCAGACATATTGCTATGATGCAGTTCGGTAAAATTCTTTGACAATTTTGAAAATTCGGTCAGATCAAACGCTACGCGGAAAATGTCTGATATTGGTATTTTCGAGTTCAGGATAATCGTATCTATCGATTTGATGCGGTTTTGGCCGTATTGCTATGAGACAAAAATTTTGGTCGTGGGCTCTCGTACTATTAAGTAAGACAGATAGACTTGTCTGTCTTTGTTGTATAAAGTTAGTTAGCATTGACGTCGTTAATCAATCCGAAACATAGTAGCACATTCTTTTGTAAGCTATGTTTTTTCTATCCATGTAACATTTTGCAAGGGGACAATAATTACGAAGCTTACGAAATTAATACGGTCACTCCGACACGAATAGTTACTGCATTCTTACATAAAGTCAATTGGACCGTTACATCGTTGCTTCTAGATACGTAGCTAGGTGTATGTTCGTGTGTTAAGATAAGATTAGTAGGCATACATACACCATGAGATATTTAACAAATCTCCACCATGAAATAAACCATATTGAGAATTTGAGATAATGCAGGTATAGTAGATGTAGTAGGTAGTACAGATGACATAATACTAGTGTAGTATAGTAAACAATATGTGGAAAACATTTTTGTTCTGAGTAACAATCATCTCATACAAATCAAAATAATATTGTTTGTTATGTTAAGGAAATCATAAAAATAACTCTATTGTTTCCTTGAAGATTCATTTCATACTTGAGTACTCCAAAAATAAGAATTTAATGAATGATCTAAAAATATCGTTGGCTAAGCGCGTCGCGTCGCATCGCGTATGCATCTTTCGTGTTGGCTTGTTTAGACAATATGTTACGCAACAACCAGTGATGTGACAACTGCTAGCTGGACTGCCTTAATTACGTACAGCAATCTTAAGAAATGTTGAAGGATGAGGTGGACAGGGTATTTCGCCGCCTACTTTAAGTATTAACTAAACGTTTGTAATTGCATCAGTTTACGCTATTAACTTAACAGTTTTGTTAATTAGTGGCGCAGTATGCGCTGAGGCTATTACCTTACTGCTCTTAGTTATTTTAATTTGAAGTGCTATTGAGGAAGATATACACACTTTTTAGTTTTCCTGTATCAGATAAATTGGTGGTTTGATCTGGTAGAGTACCAATAAATATTAAATATTTACTCTCTTAAGAACATATTACAAAATATAAATAGTTAGAAATATCCAGAAAATACCTTAATAGTTTCTGGATATGAAACGTTAATTACATTGGTATTTTATCTTTTAGTGGCATCGTCTTTATCGTGTTATCGTAAATCACATGCTTGATATAATTTATTGATTTAGGATATTATGTTTGTAAAATGTATTTTGATTTTTATTCTTCCGACTACAAGATATTGCACCGGCAGCAGACCATTTCATTATCAAGATATAGATCTATTCCAAGATTTTCAGGAACTGACTGATTAAATTGACGTGGTATTGCTGTCTCACTTTATCGGACTTGCATGCAGTTTAAGATATGGCGGCGCTTTATTTTAGATTTGGTTCTTATACTTGGCCAAACTGTTAGGCATTTCTGATCAAACCTCAATCAAACAGTCTACTAAAAGTACCTAATAAAAACTAATTAGGTATACCTATTTTCTTTAACTACAACTAGGTTTCCGATCTGTCAATAGCGTTTCTCTTTCAAATCGAATCGGGCTAAAGTATTTTAAAATTCAACATAACCGAACGGTAGATCCGGACTTGGTTAGTGAGATAGGTTTTTCATTACAGTTGCCTGTGGTATACGGTTGGAGGCACACAATGATTTCGCATGTTTCTTTCTGCCTTGCACTGATAACGGCGGCGCGGCGCGGCGGCGGGCCCGGGCGCGCGCGCGTCAGTCGCCTGCCTCGCGCTGCACTCCGCGACCGCGACCGCGCGCTCTCTGATCACTATCGCAATTTTCCGCGCCTCGGAAAAATTATCGCCTGACCTTCACTTGTTTTTCAAGCACCATTGAAATGCTCGCATTGTTATTAGTTATGTGTGATTTGTGTAATTTCAAAACGCTTTTGTGAATACGTTGTTAGAACAGAACTATTTACGTACTGAGCAGTGACGCGATGCAATTATTATAAGTTTGTAACTTTAACACTTATGTGCCACCTTTGAACGGATAAAGACTTAAAAACTATGAAGATGAATAACAAATCAAAGCCTTTAGTTGTAATACAGTGTTATGAAGTAAGTCTCATTTATTACTTTTATTCCTACAATCTATCCATTGTGAACTTGTGTGAGAGTTATCTTTTGATCAGTTGACTGATACATGTACGTAGTTAATCGATAGTATTGCTGTAGTCACATCACATCACCTTATTCATAATTCCAATTCCAAGAATCGGTGTTATTATTAGTGCATTACAAATCCACAAGATACGAATTACTTACAACATTAGGCGTGTAAGTTTTCCTTATCGTTCTGAGGTTTTAGTGTTAGATGTCTTCGGAATTTATCTCCTTATCGAATATATCACCATCGTCCTATCATATACCTGTGCTAGAGTGCCTAACTAAACATTTTTTGTGAACATTTGGACTCATAGAGGGCACAAAAAACAAAGTAGGTAGGTAGCTACATATGAAAGTTGTTCTACCCAATCTACGAAATCTCGTCATATTTGAAGCGGACGAAATAAACTTTATTTAGCACTTTTTAATTTTGTTTCTGCTAAATACTTAGGAACTTTTACCCAAGGAAATACCTAATACCTAAAGCCAGATCCATATCAATACAACTTAACTGCAATCTGACCGGACTAGCAACTGAAGCGGGAATTTTATGCAAATCACAAATATTAACAACATAATTATAATCTTTGGCCGGCAACGATACATTTTATGACCGCCGCTGGGTCCAGTTAGTGAAGCTATGAAACCACTAGTTGATGCCTTGAGGAGCAAACATAAGTAAGGTACCTACTTACCTATATCGCGCAAGTATAATATTTGTTAATGAAGATGCGTACGTGCAACACTAAAGTAAATACAGCTAGTTCAGGTTATCCTTGACATAATGCATAAAACAAACAATATCATACTGAGTACATTGATATAACGCATAAGATTGAATAATATATCGCCGGAAAGTGTAAGTTGTAGTGATAAGTATAGATCTTGTGAAGTAGTTTGACCTTTCTATTGACGTAGAGGACTCGGAGACGTTTTTTTTAAGCACTCTATTTCCGAATTGCATACGAATGTCACAAATTATACCTACACGAGTGGTATAGCTTCGTGTGAATTGTAATTTGAATTTCTTCAGAACTTCTATTGATTTAGCTGCCTTATGAAATAAGCAGTAGCATTTCTTCTTGTGGTCATGACTAAAAACAAAAATACTACTGAAAATGAATTTTTATTTAAAAATTGAATTTGGATAGTACCTATTTATACATTGATTCTCATTCAAAATGTATGGAGCCAAAGATTAGCGAAAGTAAAACTTACGATGACTTATGAAATTACTAGCTTTTGCCCGCGGCTTCACCCGCGTGAATTTTAGTTTGTCACAGATCGTCATAAATTATACCCTATATGTTATTCTGGATTATAAACAATAATACTGTAAAGTTTCATCAAAATCCGTTCAGTAGTTTTTGCGTGAAAGAGCAACAAACATCCACACAAACTTTCACATTTATAATACATATTATTAGTAAGACTAGTAAGATAGCAAGATACTGGACGAAATTAAAGATTTGACTGCTTCTAAATTTTTCCGAAATTATTTATTATGCGTGAGGAAAATTTTAAAGGATCGCAATAGAATCGGAAACGGGACTTCACCGAATCACACTTGCTACGATTTATTTACGACTACAAAAAGACTTCAACGCGTTATTTTAGGTTACGGGACCTCACGACTACGAGCTACGGTTGCTACGAATTTTTTTGGTCGTAGCAATCGTAGAACAGACCGGAAGCATGTGCCAATTACATAAAATTTATGCTTTGCAATTAGTAAAAGTTTTTATGGGTTTCAAAAGTTGATATTTGCAACGGCTTTACGAATGTTAATAGTATTCAAAACAGATAAATATTTACAAACGTATATTTTACAAAGTAATTAACTAATTAATGTAATTTATTAAATACAGCCAAGTAAAAAAATATAACTTTATAACATTTTGTATCTTTGTTGTCAGGATCGCAAACAGACCCTGCCATTGAAGAAGGCCGAGTACGACTCTGCAGAGACCACCACCAACCATCACGCGCCGCCGAAACGGGAAGCCACCGACAACCCACCACCTCCGCCACCGGTCAGTTTGTTTATCATTACATATCTTTATGTAATACTAGCTTTCCGCCCGCGGCTTCGCCCGGGGTTTTCCCGGAAATTATTCGAACTTTTCTCGCCTTATGAACCTTTGGACTTCAACGAACATTAAAAAAAAAAGAATTGGTAAAATTGGTCCAGGCGTTGTTGAGTTATGCGCTTACCAACACATTTTGCGATTCATTTTTATATTATAGAAGATTATGTGCTTTGTTTTTTAAATGCTTATTATTATATTCTAGATGCCTACTTCAAACGGACACCAAAACGGAGATGCCAAAGCAATAACAAATAATAAACCAATGGGCAAACCAATTTTCCAAGACATTATAAAATCACAAACACTGAGAAACGGTACTTTGACTCGGACTCCCACACCAGATTACAATAATAAAGCGGACTCCGCGCACTTGAAATTAAAGAGTAAGGATGACAAAGCCGAGCTCGAGTCGTTGGAGTCGTATAAGTTGAAGAACCCAGTGAATGTGCCACCGAAACCGCCGTCTAATTATTTTATGAGAGCTCCGAATGGTACTGCGACTATGAAGAAGCTCGCGCGGCCTGTTTCTGTGACCATAGGCGAGTACGCGGGCGGCGGCGGCCGACGGGAGCCGACGAAGCTGGACTTCCTGGGCGCCGACAAGCCCGACGGCGGAGCGCCCGACGACGTGCCCATCACTAATCGGCTGCAGTCCGAACTAGCGATGACGCTGTCCAGATCCAATTTGCGCAAAAAGACTGAGGCTTTGGTAAGATGACGTTGTTTTCTGTAGTAAATAAACTGGATAGGATTTTTTGTACGATGTCCATATTTCCGGATCTATCGAGTCATTTACATAAATCGACTGGTCCATAGCTATTTTTAACGGAGTCCAAAAAAGGAGGAGGTTCTCAATTCGAGTGTATGTTCTTTTTTGTTACGTTTATTAGAATAGTGTACTTAACTATAATTGTATTTGGCCATAGCTCAAACTATTGCTGGACGTAGGTCTTTAATAAAAAGCATTTAATTTTTTTTTTAAATAATTAACTGTCTCATTTACTTTGTCTATATTAACCTTTAAAGTCCCATACATTAATGCCATAACAATTGATTATCTATTGTGTCTAGATACGCGGGCCTTGAAAGATTAATAAATAAGCGTATGTTTTTCAGGATGATGCTATAGCTAAATATAGTAACGCTAGGGGTCTGCTCCTAACCGAAGATAGCGATACATCTTTAGATCAGAATTTTCATGCCAGATACGGCAACTACCTTCATCCGCTGCCGCCCTCGATTAATATACCAAAAGTTGCAAAACTCAAGTACCACGTCATTTGAAGTACTTACATAATCTACCTTTATGAACTATTACTTCTTCGGGGGTGTTCACATAATTTGGTGTTTTTAAAATAATGCAAACACTTTGCATGTAATATTAGTTTCTGTCATCACCGGCACATTTGCATTAGTTAACCTCATTATAAGTAGGTATTTAAAACTTCATTGCACACAATTTGGCGGTTGCATTGCAATAGCGTTTCCTAATCATCACGGTTGATGAATTCACTTCTAGTCCAATAACGACTTGAGATTGACGAGAATATCACAAATGGTGATGGTTTCTTCATAACAAATATACTTATGTATTATTACGGTGGAGAATTATGTCAAAAATAACTTAATTTGCTGCTATTATAACTTTATTGTTTTGTTCACAGGCGGACGCTGGTCGATAATAATATGGTGAAGCCCTATTTACAGTAGATGTAATAAACATTAATATTATACTTTTAATAAAAATAAATCTTAGTTGGCCTGTTCGACCAAAGTTATGTAATATAGGCACACAATGTATTAGTTATTCGTATAAAAAGATTTATATCATGCCAGAGCTCCATGGCATTCAATTTGGTTGCCTGTCAATTTAAAATATACTTAATCTCTATTATTATATGTAATTATTTATACAAAGGTACCACAATTATTTTATGTTTTGTACGGTAATATTGCTGTTCACTTCGTAATATACACCCGTGGTTAATTAATTTAATTTATGTACTTAATGAAATGTTTGCGTTGAGTGACGTAATGAATCGCCTAAGTCATATTATTTTAATGAGAAAAATAAATGAAATTAAAAGGACTTGAAGTGTTTTATTACATTAAACATTGTTTAAAGTTCTCCGATTACTTACCTCCGCACAAATCTACATCTACACTAATATTATTAAGAGGAAAACTTTGTTTGTTTGTTTGGTTGTAATGAATAGGCTAAAAAACTACTGGACCGTTTTTAAAAATTCTTTCACCATCCGAAAGCTACATTATCCACGAGTGACATAGGCTACATTTTATTTTGGAAAAAAATAGGGTTCCGTAAAATATGTAGATAATGTAGTCCACGCGCGCGAAGCCGTGGGCGGAAAGCTAGTATTTTATAAAACTTTTTGTCAATACTTAAACAGTTTTTATTTTTTATTACATAGAACTGTTTTCTTCCTTTGATGGATAATAAAATTGTAACTTTCAGAATCATCGTCTATTTTATTTATTTAAGTACTATGACCTATTTCCTAATAAGGTGTAGCGTGTTTTTACTAGTAGCTATGAGGTACCTAAGTAAATGTTTGTTAAATACCACCGACTTAAGTCGAGGGCGAGGGCGCAGAATCACGCAGAATACCGAAGACCCCGAAAGCGGGCTCCTTAGAATAGTACACACGTATAATAATATAGCGGGATGCTTTAACCCTCTAAGGGCGCGATGGCACGGCGTTAAAGCTCTACGGTCATTACTCAGTGCTCTTCAGTGCACACTGGTGGGCATGGAGCAGCTCCACTATTTCTGGAGCACTGAACAGTGCTTGCAGTGCTTTATCGGAAACTGTATATTACTGATATTACCCATGTCTGATTGAAAATGTGTCCCGTTGAAATTGTGTCCCGTTGGAACTAAATCTGGTATAGGTAGGTACCTTAGTTAGATTAAGCAGTTAATGGATGCGAACTTATTATATAAATCTATGGAAACCGATCAGACTTCATAAAAGTCATATTTATTTGTCATTTTTCACATTTCATAACGTAATTATATAATTTCATTTCGTCAGAGTAAATATATTCTTTGTTTCATAATGTTTCAAACTTTATATTTTTAAATCACTACTATCCTATACTGTGCCCATACCAATATGTTTCGTAGTAATTCTTCGAAATCGTTGGACTGCGACGAAGAATACGCCGAGACAATATTAATCCAAAGCCCTTTTGTGGAAACTACGCGGGCGGGAAAACATTTATGCTCTGTGATAATTTGTAAGTTCATTTCAATTTTAGCTCCTTCTGAATGTTGTGGAATTGGTACCTAACACATTCGTTATTATGTAATTATTATCAGAATTTATTATATTAACGTAAAAGTATGCATTGTAGGTACTTATCAATTAAGTTTAAGTCTCTCTCTGGTAACAGCCTAACAGCTTTAATATAAACAGAGTTCATTTACCTTTACGTGGATTTACCTGCTTACTTATTATTTAGTGTGTAATAGTAATTTAAAATCGATTCTATCGCTTGCTTTTAGCCCTTACACCGAGAAAATTAATGGTTAAAACGTCAAATGCCCAGAATCTCTTAACACGGTCAGATAAATCAATATCATTGTCGTTCGATTATTTTTACCCACTCGACACAACCACACTCACAGTATTCAAAAAAAGCAAACGACAATCTATTAAACTCTGTTTTAATATGATAACCACGAGATATTTTGAATTAGGACAATGGAGCAAAAGACGGGTAAAAAGTTTTTCGGTTTTCTTGATTTCACTTTAGAATGTAGACTTTCCGACTGAATTGATTTTGGTAAGCAAGAAACAAGTATATTTTACGCTACTTACATGTTTTGATATCGTAGGTATTTTGGAAGTTGTGGTGTATTCACGTTGTGGAATTAAATACGGAAAAGCACAAGTGGCCATTCGTACAATCGCAGAACAACTCAAAATATACCGATGCCGATGATATTTTGAGTAAAGTATGTGCTTAGTTTAATAAAAAATATAATCTAATAATATAATGTACAATAAGTAGGTATCTTACACAAATATGAATTCTCGATTAGATTGAAAACGAATAACGGGAGTCAAGGGGATATTATGATTTTATTCAAGCCGAATTCCTTCTTTTTTTAAAGCTATCTTCTTTTACTTCTATTGCTACTTCATTTTATAGAAGAAAACCATAAAATGGACGGACAAATATTTATATTTGGGTTCAAAAAGGGAGGCGGAAGACAACAATCGACCTAAACCTGTCCCAGGACTCGGCCCTCCCGAGAATATCAAGTTATTGTACTTGAAACAGAAATATTTTGGGTGCTGGGATCAGTCGGAGCATTGGGTGCAGTGCGACAGTAACTCTTCGTCGCATTTACGTGATAAGTGATGCATAGGAAGATACTTATCTAAAGAAAGGTAAATTTTAACGTATAAGTACTTAGCATAATTAGAATTTGAGTTAGAGAGCGCCAACTTTAAAAAGTTTGAACTAAAATAATCCTATCTTTGATTTATGATATCATACATGGATTCCTACCTACTACTTACTTCTTAATATCATAGTCGCGCTTGTTTTACTCTGAAATTCTAAATCTAACACTTATTTGGGAGTAAGTAGGTAATCAATAGATGAATAGACTCATGGTGAGTGGTGGTGTGGAGTGTGTACTCACAAATAGAAGTAGGTAGGTAGTATCGACGCTCATGTTATGGAAAGATGAACTTAGTAACAACTTAACTTTTTTATTCCACTATAACTTAAACAATATGCATTTAATTAAATTAATTTAATTTCATATTTTTTACCATTGTGAATGGCACTTTTGATTAGACTGTTCAAATAGTCAGTTTTCGCCTCTTTCGTCTCCAGTAATGTATATTTTGACCATAACACCTGAAATTATAAATACATTCTTTTTTTAAATTTGATAGTGACAAATTTTTACATCAAAATAAATGTTAAGAATTTAAAATAACTTGAGTGTATTTTATGATCCCCATTCTAGAAGTTCCTAGAGTTAGTAGATCAGTGTTTAGCTTTCTTACACTGGTAAGTAAATTACACACAATGGCAATGAAAATAGAAGTTTCACTTACCAACTCAGCATGGAAGCCCAATGCTCCAAGTTCTCTGACCTTTGTTTCAAAAGGCCCGGTAGGTGTGCCTGTCTCCTGGATCATTGTGTTTCTCCCCGCAACTACTAATGCTACCCAGTTATTACCATCAGGTGGTTTATGTAGATTCCCAAATGGAACTGAGCTAAAATGTTTTTTTACTTCCATTGGTTGATCATCATGATCGTTGCATACAATGACATCTGGAAAATTGCATAAAAATATGTTTGATTTTTTATTTGTAAAGAGAAGAAACGAATTATTGTGTAGATATTAATTACCTCCTCTTTGGTGATGTGTCACAATATGTCCACCAACAACATACTCATTACCACCTCTGTTATCTTTCAAAGTTTTCATAACATCTAAAAACATTCTTTCACTCACATTGTACTGTTTTTTATAATCTTCATTTGGTACATAATCAGTATATTTTTTTGCTAAGGACGTAGCACATTTATCGCTAAGATAATTCATATTTTTTTCAGAGCAAAATATTTTCGCTGAATTATGTATTGCTAAAACTTCTCGTCCATATGTTATGTGGTGTTTACCATAAGTCCTTTCTAAAAACTCTGGACTCAACACTTTATTCATAAGATCTAAAGGATAAATCTTCAAATATGCTAAATATGAGACACAACATGCAAAAGACCTGCCATGTTTCTCAATTTCTGGTAATCGCTCTGGTTTTCGAAGCTCTTCTACAACTTTTTGGAATAAACAAGTTTCTGTTTCAGGTGCAAAATTTAAGGTACCAAATGTCAAGATTAATCTCTCTAGATCTTTCAGTCTTGTTTTATCAATTTCACTTAAAGTAGACATTGCTATCTTATGTAAACATTCTTTATGTAATGAAAGGGTTGCAGTTCCCAGTAATGCCAAGTGGACCCTACACATGACAGATAATCTAGGTATTTCATGTTGGAGTACATCTAATATTTTGTATACTTGACCATCTAGTGCTTTGTTGGAGTATCTTATAATTTTAAGTAGTGCAGCCAGTGATACTTCATGTACATCTTTAGATTGCTCTATAACTTTATCACCTATTTTAGAAACTAAATCATTACTCCTTATTGGGGTTTTACTCTTGAAAAACCCCATAGACATAATAGCTAATTCATCAATTGAGAAGCTTTCGAAAAGTTTATCAAGATGAATTTCCAAAGCATGCATATCATTTGGTGATTTTCGCATGATTCCAACAAAGAACAAGGTTTCAACCAATTGATTTGGTGTCAAGTGTTTTGCTTTGTATGCTAGCTTTTGTATACACTTTAAACAATAATCACTATATTTTGTTACATTCAGCATGTAAAACATGGAGACAAAACCCAACATTTGATCAAAGGACCATCTGTTTAGCCGGTTTAAGCACTCGTCATCTAGTGCAGCCCAAACTTCTATGTAGTTTCTGGTTCTGATTGACTCAGTTTCTGGCCATTTGAGTAAATAGTGGAATAATAATTTAAGTTCTTCGTCTGTAGCAAGTCCTATGTTATCAGTAAGACTGTCTATAAATGAATCAAATATTTTATTTGATATATTTAAGTTGTTGTCATAGCTAAATATAGCTAACTTTAAGAAAGCCTCAAATAATAACGAGGGAGATTGTTTTGACCAGTTTTCATTCATAATTTTATCAAAATGTTCTTTGTCAACTTCACAGTAGTTGCTTAACTTAGGATTAGATAGAGAAATCAAAGCATAACCTTTCTTTTCCATTAGACTGTACGCATATTGATTTTCAGTTTCCATGAACATTTTTCTCTGTGTTAAATTAGTAACATGTAGATTTCTCTGTGATTTTTGTAATACATTTGGTTGTGTAGATTTCAACAAAATATTTGTGTAGTTTGTATGACGACTATAACTGATATAGCGTAAAATTTTTAAAGCCATTGTCATTTTTGTAGTTGTTGTGATTAATTTTACAATACTTCCTATTTATTTTTCAAAAATCCAAAATTACTGTTTTTAAATTTCTTCTTCTTATTTTATTTTGGCGACGGCTTGGTTTTGAGAATTTTTTAGGTTATATTTTTTTGACAATGACATTTTGACATTATACTTTTTTTGTAAGATTAGGAATTGGGCCTAGTTCATTCAGAATGTTTTATACGATTATGATACGATGCAAATACGAAGAAAACGATAATAACTTTAAAAAAAAAAAGAAGGACTAGCTTGATGAGGGTTCGAGTTTCGTGCTGCTTTTACTTTTATAAACTTTTACATTATGAGTCAAGTCAATGTGAATACAAACGGAACGGATTTGTATAAACGCATGTATTTAGCTTATTTATTTTGAATTCTCGGCGAATAGCAAGATTCGTGAGCTTTTAAAAAAGAGAGACGATTTCAAGAGCAGTCGATTGTCATTGTCGAGGATCGAGAACTCACTTTGTCTATGATTGCTCTTTGTTGTGTTGCTCATCGCTCACTCCCTCACTCTATGTATTAAAGATGTGTCGTTATGGGTTTTTGAAATAACGAAACGCGACGGTTTTCGAATCACGAATAACGTTTTCAAAACTAGTTTTTTTTAAACGAAGTTATTTCCACAACGCTCAAGCAAGAGTGATAATAATAACGTTAGGTGTTTGGTTAGCTGCAAGGCCTTTAGGAACTTATGACCTTCAAAATAAGACTCAAATTCCATTGAATATCTAACGTACGACGAAGATTATACCTATTTCATCCACACTTATGTTAACGTCCTATGGCTTTCTCACTCGCACACGCACTCGATTCGTTGCGATCCTTATTATTTGGACACCATACATTACTCGCTTTACTCCTTTAGGTTACAAAAAATATGTTTAAGAATCGTCAATGTACGACGTTGTCCTCAAAACTGTCATAACGAAGCGGGAAACACGTTATTTTTTGTGTCAACCAAACATCTACCTTATGTTGTTTGCTTAAGAGTGAATTCAGTTTACCTTTAGAGCGTTGTGGAAGCAATCGTGTTGAATAACGAAGAGATTCTAACGTTGTATGACGTTAAGAAAAAAACTAGTTTAGGCGTTTTTGGATAACGAGTGATCACTGGTCAGGCTAATCACTCGTTTAATAACCAGTGATAACGAATAACGCCCATCGCTACTATGTATTACTTTTCTCTATGCCCTCACTCTCACTCCCTCAGTGACATAAATCTTTAGTCTATTGCCGGCTGACGCCGCCATATTTTGCTAGTGACTGATTTTCGCGCCCGATAATTACACTGAATACTCGTATTTTCGTGATGTTAGAAGGATTGTTGAGATAAGTAGCTGTTATTAGTGAATAATACTGTTTTTTCTATCATGTCGCAAAACGAAGAAGCAATGGATGTCGCAGATGTTGGGGATAATTCGGTAAAAGTCATAACCGTGCTATTTTATTCTTTAGCGCATCTAAATAAAGAAGCAGAGATGTTCGTATAATGCTAATGATAATTTTTCGTACAGAATGGATCATCCAGTGACACTACTTCATCTAGAGGCAAAGAGGGCGATTTCGAAAGTAAAATAGAAACTGACCGTTCTAAAAGGTTCGACTTTCTTCTCAAGCAGACCGAGATCTTTTCTCATTTCATGACTAATGCCCCGAAATCAAACAGCCCACCAAAACCTAAAGCAGGAAGACCAAAAAAGAATAAAGACCTTGATACCTCTGGAGGAGCAGGAGAGTGAGTACTTAGATTGAACTTGTTAATTTAACCTCATTCCATTTTATGCAAATCTAAACAAATTAAGAATGCAATTCTATATTATTATATATAATATAATTCTATATAATCTTGTCCAAAATATAATCACTTTATTCCACAGCCATCGACACCGTAAAACTGAACAAGAAGAAGATGAAGAATTGCTTGCCGAAACAAACACTAAACAGAAAACAATATTTCGTTTTGAAGCTTCACCACACTATGTCAAAAATGGTGAAATGCGTGACTACCAAGTTCGTGGTCTAAACTGGATGATCTCTTTGTATGAAAATGGAATCAATGGAATATTGGCTGATGAGATGGGTCTGGGCAAAACACTACAAACCATTTCCTTGCTTGGATATATGAAACATTTCAAGTAAGTATATAATAGAAATACCACTATTCCTACAAATACATTTTTTTCCTGGAATTCTACAATATTAACAACATTTTCAGAAATGTCCCTGGGCCACATATTGTTATAGTGCCAAAATCAACTCTCACAAACTGGATGAATGAATTCAAGAAGTGGTGTCCTTCCTTGAAAGCTGTCTGTCTAATTGGTGACCAAGAAACAAGGGTAAACATTTATTTATTGATACTTCTAAATCCAGTAACATTAGTATTTAACATTTTTATTGATAATTATAATGGCATTAATGATTATAACTTATTAAGCATTTTTTTTATTATTTTATACATTACAATGATGAAACAACTTGCTAATGATTGTAATGATCTTTTTTTCTATTTTGTTTCTTCCTATATTTGAACTCTATGTAGAAAGAAACAAGCAATATTATTAATGAACTAGATTGAAAACAAAAAAATAAGTTTCCACTAATTATATTATTTTATTGTTTTACAGAATACTTTTATCAGAGAAACCTTGATGCCTGGGAATTGGGATGTCTGTATAACATCATATGAAATGATTATTAGAGAAAAATCGGTGTTTAAAAAATTCAACTGGAGATACATGGTTATTGATGAAGCTCATCGAATCAAGAATGAAAAGTCCAAGCTTTCGGAACTGTTGAGAGAGTTTAAAAGCATGAACAGATTGCTTCTGACTGGAACCCCCCTACAAAATAATCTTCATGAGTTGTGGGCACTTTTGAATTTCCTTTTGCCTGATGTTTTTAACAGCTCAGATGTAAGTAAAGTTGTAATGGACCATTTATTCATGTAGGGTACATGTTGTTGTGGAAATACCTTTTAATAATATTGATAATTTTAGGATTTCGACTCATGGTTCAACACAAATGCAGCTTTGGGAGATAACCAGTTGGTTTCACGTTTACATGCCGTTTTAAGACCATTTTTACTGAGACGTTTGAAATCTGAAGTAGAAAAAAAACTGAAACCCAAAAAGGAGGTCAAAGTTTATGTGGGTTTGAGCAAAATGCAAAGAGAGTGGTATACAAAGGTTTTGATGAAAGATATTGATGTTGGTAAGTTTATGCAAAGTTATGACATAGAGAAAAGAAATTTTTGTGTTGAGCAACTGATAATTCACTGTAATTCTTCTTCTTATTCGTTATGCTCTTGGCAGAGCGGTCGTGGTCACGTTGAGGCGTTGTTCACATCGGTTGTAGAGGCGGATACAACTCTCCGCACGATCTCCCTCCATCTCTCTCTATTGGCAGACTGTCTGGTGCAGTCACATAAGCCGTCTCCCACTACTGCTTTCACTTAGTCGGTCCAGCGCATTGGTGACCTGCCACGCGATTCACTGTGATTGCCATAGTCCTAATGATTGTTGAATTTTCCAGTGAATGGTGCTGGAAAAGTCGAGAAAATGAGGTTACAAAATATTCTGATGCAGTTGCGTAAATGTTGCAACCACCCGTACCTATTCGACGGCGCCGAGCCCGGCCCGCCTTACACCACGGACGAGCACTTGGTGTACAACTGTGGCAAACTGGCCATCCTCGATAAGCTGCTGCCTAAACTTAGAGAGCAGGGCTCCAGAGTGCTCATATTCTCTCAAATGACAAGAATGTTGGATATTTTAGAAGATTATTGTCTCTGGAGACAGTACAAAGTGAGTTTTTGATTATTTTAAGCACTTTTACAGTCACCCTATTCACACGCACTGTGTTATGCCAATTATGGTCATCATTATCCATTACTGACACATTTATTCTCTTTCAGTACTGCCGCTTGGACGGTCAAACACCTCATGAAGATAGAAATAGACAAATTGAAGAGTATAATGCTGAAGGAAGTGAAAAGTTTGTATTCATGTTGTCTACAAGAGCTGGTGGTCTTGGTATTAATTTAACATCAGCCGATGTAGTCATCATCTATGACTCCGATTGGAACCCACAGATGGATTTGCAAGCTATGGACAGAGCTCATCGTATAGGACAGATGAAACAGGTTTGTACTTATTTCTGTCTGTTTGTTAGTTGAACATTTCAAATGTAGATTCTTGCCGACCAAAAGCTTACTGTTTCAATATTCTAGGTGCGCGTGTTTCGTCTCATAACAGACAATACAGTTGAAGAAAAAATTGTTGAGCGTGCTGAAGTGAAACTAAGATTGGACAAACTGGTTATTCAGTCTGGCCGACTAGTTGACACTAAAAATCAGTTAAACAAAGATGAAATGCTCAACATGATTAGACATGGTGCAAACCACGTCTTTTCGTCAAAAGATTCTGAAATCACTGATGAAGATATAGACACCATATTGGCTAAGGGAGAAGTTAAGGTAACTTATATTAATGCTTCACTAAAATTCATGAATGCTTTGCTGAAATGTGATTTTAAATTTTTTTTAATATTGTAGACTGAAGAACTTAAGCAAAAATTAGAGAGTCTAGGAGAGTCCTCATTGAGAGCATTTTCTATGGACACTCCCGGCGCGGCAACCGATTCGGTATATCAATTCGAAGGTATGTATTTAAGTTATTATTTAGATTGTTTAACAAAACATCCCAACTAATGAGCTTTTATTGGCAGGTGAGGATTATAGGGAGAAACAGAAAGTTATTCCCATGGGTAGCTGGATAGAGCCCCCGAAACGTGAGCGCAAAGCGAACTATGCGGTAGACGCATACTTCAGGGAGGCACTCCGTGTCTCCGAACCCAAGGCGCCCAAGGTACAGGTAAATAAGTGTAAAGAGCTAAATGGCCAGGTTTGAAGTTCATTCTATTTTGGTGGTGGTTGTTATGTTTATCAGATACGTCATTCACTCATCTATGTATTATCTTTTTATTAGCTCTTTATACTATTGCAGTAGGCGATTACTTATAATAATAATAATAATTGGTGGTTTTTGCTTCTTAAAATTACACTTAAGTATGCTTCTGTATTTATGTACTTTCCTCTCATATTTTATTACATTATACATCCATCATACGCATTTATTTTGCCTTGTAATATTTGACGTTTTCTTGTTTGCTCCTTCAGGCTCCGAGACCCCCGAAGCAGCCGATCGTGCAAGATTTCCAGTTCTTCCCGCCCCGACTTTTTGAACTTCTTGATCAAGAAATTTACCACTACAGAAAAACTCTAGGGTATGTATCATAACATTTTTACTTGTAACTCAAAACATGCGGTTATAACGAAGCGGGTTACGGTTATTCACTGATGCTGCGGTAACACAGAATCTATACTAATTTATAAATGCGAAATTAACTCTGTCTGTCTTGCCTTCCCGCCTTAACCACTGAACCGATTTTGATGAAATTTGGCATAGAGATAGTTTGAGTCCTGGGAAAGGACATAGGATAGTTTTTATCCCGGTTTTTGAAACGGGGACGCGCGCGATAAAGTTTTTTTGTGACAGACAAAAGTCCACGCGGGCGAAGCCGCGGGCGGAAAGCTAGTTAATAAAGAAGTTTAAGCTTTTGCCTGAATTCTACAATCAGACCACGTTATGATTTACATTTCAATAATTACAAATGTTTATTAGGTACAAGGTGCCTCGTAATCCTGAATTGGGGCCAGATGCTGCAAAAATTCAGAGAGAAGAGCAACGCAAAATTGACGACGCCGAAGCGCTTTCCGAAGAAGAAATTCAGGAGAAGGAACAACTTTTAACTCAAGGTTATTTTATTTTTATACAATTTTATTACTTTATCTGTATTTCATTGATAGTTCGCTAATAGCAAAATATTTTTATAGGGTTCACAAATTGGACAAAACGAGATTTCAACCAGTTCATCAAAGCTAACGAGAAATATGGCAGAGACGACATTGAAAACATTGCTAAAGATGTTGAAGGAAAGACACCAGAAGAGGTAAAGACTTCAACATACTTCTGATTGCTTGTAGGAAGGAATATTCAAAAAATCTTGGAAGTTTTTTCGAGTTTTAAAATCAAAATAATAATAATAACATTCTTTATAACTTCCTTTGTTCAGGTGATGGAATATTCAGCTGTGTTCTGGGAAAGATGTCACGAACTTCAAGATGTGGACCGTATTATGGGACAGATAGAAAGGGGAGAAGCAAAGATACAGAGAAGAGCCTCAATAAAAAAAGCGTTAGATGCGAAGATGGCCCGCTATAGAGCACCGTTCCATCAGTTGAGAATCTCATATGGTACAAATAAAGGCAAAAATTATGTGGAAGAAGAGGACAGGTAAATTATCTAAGTTTTATGTGTTTCACGAGTTCTAGGTCCATGTACAGTCACGGAATGAAAAGGTTCGTCAGTTTTCAAATGCAAGCGAAAACCGACACTAAGGTGACAAACCTTTTCATTCCGCGACTGTACATAGCAGTGTCTTTAAGTCAAACAATGAGAATCATACTAATCCTGATTACACTGGATTTTATTTCGACATTTTCGGTGAACGCGATGGTTGTAAACACATGTCTATCTCTTGCTCTTTAAATATGTAGGGAATCCTTCAGTTCTTTGTCCAGCAGTCATTTGGCTGAAACAAGCGAACTTTTGAAGCAGGAGCTAAATTAAATGTCCACATTGGTTCCAGGTTCCTGGTGTGCATGCTGCACAAGCTGGGCTTCGACAAGGAGAACGTGTATGAGGAGCTGCGCGCTGCCGTGCACGCGGCGCCGCAGTTCCGCTTCGACTGGTTCCTCAAGTCGCGCACCGCCGTCGAGCTCCAGCGCAGGTGAGTGTCATCATCCTCTGGGGGCTAAAGTCCGGTCGCCGAGCACATAGAATTTCGTCCAACGACCCCGACCTACCCATCGTTATCGCTCACGCGTAATTGTATTGCTGTTGCGCTCGCACACACTGCGGCCGCCCGTCGCACTGTCGCACAGTCGCGGCAGCAATATGATTACGCGCGAGCGATAAGTATAGGTAGCTTGGGGTCATTGGACGAAATTCTAACTGCTCGGCGACCGGACTTTAGGCATTAGGCAGAGTAATAAACGTGATACTTAGCTACACTACTCATGATGTTAATCGAAGTAGATAGTGTAGTCACGCACTTCATCTCGAACCAGAGTAAACTAGCCTCGCCTCATCTGACTTCCAAAAGTTGTCGGTATTTGCGCCCTAGTCAAAAGACTCGAAGTGCTCCGAAGTTTGAACACGAAGCTTCTGATTACATTATTCGGCTAACTAGATCGCGCGTCTACAACGCGTCGAAGCGAGTACATAATGTAGTCGAGGTATTACAAATAAACTTAACCGTTTTAATTGCGTAATCTATTATAAGCCATTTGTTATGTTTTGAGTGTTGGTGTTAATTATATCTGTCACATTTCATTTCTTTCAGATGTAACACCCTTATCACATTAATTGAGAGAGAAAATCAGGAATTGGAAGAAAAAGAACGCGCTGAGAAAAAGAAAAAGAGTGGAAATGCAAATCAGAATACTCCTGGCGGGAATGCCAATAAAGGCGCGAACGCTGGGAAGCGCAAAGCAGAGAATACTCCCGACAATGCACAGAAGCAAAAGAAAAAGAAGAAATGAAACCATAACATAATACAGTTATCATGTGAGAGGGTCCCAGTTGCATAATGTTTTTACACACACGGTAAACTGAATTGAATTTGAATTTATTTTATTACTTTTACACTTGCATTGATCTTGAGTGTGGTTAGGATCAATACTGATTATTGCAAAACAAATAGCAAGATTGAAAATCGAAGATTAGGAAGATTTTAACATTCCCTAAAGTATTGATTGCTAAATGATTGCCTACCATAATAATGTCCATTGACATGAAAAGGTTTCTGTCAGTTTATACAAAAAATAAAGTGAATTTTATCAATATCTAGCCTTTTATTTCATACTGTTATCTCGTATCATATATCAAGTTCTACCACGACGCGGGCAAATGAAGTCCGGAATTAAAGTTTTTTTGGGTTTCGGGCAAAGTGAATAGACAGTTGTATATTATAAACCGTATTTTATTAAACTATCTGTACAAGAAGGCTTACCTAGCTTCAAAAAAGCTGGCACGATCATTCTTTTGATTTTAATTACTAAACAGATTTGTATGGCGTGCTAGCTTGTTTCAAAGAAATAGGTAATGACATTTTTTTTCTTATATTAATTTTGAAATCTAAGCCGATATTAAATTTTAAAATCGTAACAATCTAATCACTTACAAGTGCTGACTAGCTTCATTCATGCCTTCATTATCACAATGTCAAGGTAGATTCCTATTTATAAATATGTATAAGAATTAAATCTTAATAATACTTAAAGATTACCTAGCTCAACTTACAGAATTTATAACTTTGGCCTGACTCTGAGGGATTCATCTCAAGCTACGAAAATATCTAAACGAGAATTGGTAGAATTAGGTATTTAGATATTCCCCTCGTAAATACTGTTCTATAATAGGATGTGCCTGTGGAAGTAACAGTGGTTGAACAGTGTTGTAGCATAGTTGAAATTTTGCATCAATAAAACATTAATATACCCTTATTTAAAAAAAAAAAAATACTGTGCAGTGTAACAGTCTATGTTCCTCACATTGAAAAAAATAATCATCCTGCACATGTTAGGTACATAACATAATCACAATTTTACTCAAGTTCACTCCAGTAAATGGAACGGTTGTGGTGTTAAAATTACACTAATGACTCGGCAGATCAAGACGAATTTCCATTCTCTCCATTATCTTGGAAATTGTTGACATTAGTAGAAAAGGGTGCACCTAATCCATAAAGGTGACCACTTGTGCTTTCAATGTTGCCATCAAAGAATATCTGAAAAGAGCAATAATCTTATTAAATAAAGATTAATTATTATAATTCTAGTTAAATATTAACTCAAAAAATGTAATAGATAATAGACTTTAAATATATGCAGATTTGTTTACCTCTTTTATTTTGAAAAATGCCATTCCTGTGAGATGGGAGTCTGAGCCGGCTTGGTGCTGTGGTCCTACTCGCCGCAGTTCAAGTTGGTCAGCTACTTCTTGCAAACCACCCTTTAGGTTTTTGCACAATTTCATCAGATACTGAAAATAGATCAAGATAGATATGTTTGTAATAAAATAAAAAAAAAATAAAAAACCTGAAGGACTCTTCTTATTTTTTTTAATTTATAAACTTACCTTGACATCATAAACTGTAGGGAAATATAGACGCAGACTATCAAAAAAGTCATTTTCTTCTTGGGGTAGGTTTTGGTCTGTGAGAAGTTTTAATAAATAGCCAAAATCATATCCAGAATGAAAACTCAACCAATTGATATTATCCATGAGCACTATTCCTGGAAAAAAGAATTTGGTTTAGATTTCTAAGATATTTCTTAATATTTACTTAGATGTTTAATTTTTGCTTTGAAAGAATCCTTACCTGATGACATCAGTAACTCTGCAAATTCCAAAGGTTCAATGCCATGTTCTTCATGTTCTCTGAATTGCAACCCAGAATTTTGTAATAAATCAATAGAATCTTGGGCATACATATCTTCCCTAAAATACAAATGCATTAGAGAATGGTTTCATAATTCCCCAATTAGTCCCTTGAATTGTTGGGTATAATAATTTTTAACTAATCAATCTTAATTTTTGAAATTGACTCTTTTAATTTAAAATAGATTAACAAGTGTTCAGTACAGATCTTAAAAAGGTTTGAATACTCACTGTAGATTAAACTTAAAGTTGAATTGCCATGTTGTGCAGCCTGGAGGAGTTTTGCCACTTTCATCCATGAAGGTAAGACCTAGTTGTATGATTCTCAGCAGGTCCACATTACATCTGAAAGCATTAAGCCACACAATTACAATAATTTCTAGATGGTCCCAGTTCAATGTTGATTAGGATAATTACCTTAATAATTGGTACTGGTAGTCAGCAGTAGATCTGAATTCTCCAATAGGTCTTGCAACAACACCAGGGAACTCTGTATCCATTGCAACCCAGTGAAATTTCTGAACAACCTGAAAATTTAAAGTTTTAACATTTCACACTGCTGTGTCCACAACCAGTGTTATTTAGCTTTTAGCATATAGTAGAAAAATAAATCTCTACTCTGATAGAAAGCTGTACATAAAAAAGTATTGACTTTGTAGATCCAAATTGTGTTTATAGTAATAATAAACGAGTAAATATATCTCAATAAAGCAATAGATTATGTAGGTACCTGCCGGATGACATGAAATTCCTCGTGAAGATTGTGATTCCAGACATTTTTGATGGCACAATCCTCTTTCAGTGCACTTGTAACAAGGGACCCAAAACTAGCAGCAGGCATCTTGAAACGTTAAAAAATGAGATATCTAGTTGGTTAAGAGGTTAAACACCAATTGATACAAGCTAAATATTTAAGATAGGCGAAATTATACACCTTTAGAAGATAGTTATCCGTTTTAAATTTAACCTCTTCGTACTGGATAGAAGCCGTGTTTGCGAGTATTTAGGTAACTTTTTACTTTAACGATGAGTACAAGAGGCCAAAAACGTAATGCAATTTGTAATGCGGTTTATTTCCTTTCAATATTTAGCTCAAAAACGCCGCACAAAATACTGCAAGTTGACCACAGACAACAAACAGCTGATGAATGCAGATGAATGAGTGAGAATGACATTGACAGAACTTGCTTTTTTGTACATAAACTAGTCAAAAGCATTTGTGCATACAGCCAGGGCTTTTGAGGATAGTTCAGTCAAATGATTAAAATCTCATGCTTGCCGTGGATCTATGTTTTTGTAATAAAGTCCTCTTACGACAAGTGAGAGGAAATTACTAATAGTCTTAGTGAAGTTATGACTTCATTAAAGATGGTTTTGACTTTATTAACCATCAGAACTTCTATAATATCTATTTATAAGAATCTATTTTGCATGTAAACTGAGCGGGCAACTAATACAGTTGCCCATTAAGGGCTTTATCATCACAGTAAGGGCAAACCTAACAGTGGTAATGAAATGAAAATCTGCGTTTAGGAAAATTCTTTTATCACCTTTGCTATTTGTTAAGCCAATAGATACAAAGTATTCTTAAAAGGACCATAAAAATAATCGTACAGGCTAAAAAAGAAAGTTACTTAAACTATATTATTATGTATCAAATACGTAAACTATTTCATTATCATAAATCCATTATTAAAATTCATTAAAATATCATTGTCAAATCAAAAGAAGAACCACATAATAAAGATTCAAGATGATTATGAGTCTATTTACAATTTAGAATAAAATTTTTATGACTTCATCAATTTTATAACACTTTAATTTGATCTTAGATAAATTCAATAGGAATTAAAACACATCTAAAGTTACTATTAGTATCAAAATATTAATAAAGATCAATTCATTTTAATTCAGGTACACTAATTGTAACTTTATTACACAACACTCTCAACTCTGTGATATTGAGTCCCACCAACATGTAAGTTAATAAAAAAAATATTGTTTAATCGAAGTTAAAGCAGTATCAGCATAGTCTTGGATGCATAGTAGAACTTTTGTGTTACGTGCATATTGTTATGTCACGATGCGGTACTTTTTAGTGATAATTCTCTAATGAAACCCTAATTTAAACAAATCATCTAGCTATGTACATGCTAATGTAGTATAAAAATAAAAACATTATTTTCCTTGCACTATTTCTAATACCAAAACATGTAGGTTCGACTCATTATAGTCAGAGTAAATAAGGTATTGGTACAACATACAAACTTGGAGCAATTTCTGATGAAAACCTGATGATAAATGTCTATTTGTTCATAGTTATGTACACTGCACAAAGGTGATTGCTGAATCACTCCTTTAGGTGGAACAAGCGCGGCTGCGGCGTCTGCCTGTTCGCACACACAGAGTCCCCGGATCAAGAGGAGTTACCATTTTCTCCGTTGTCTTGGAAGTTGTTCACATTCACAGAGAATGGGGCACCTAGACCGTACAAGTGACCACTTGAACTTTCAATGTTGTCATCAAAAAATATCTGGAAGAAAAAGAAAAACGATTATTGTTATTAACATGTAAGCGAGAAAATTTGTTAATATGTACAAACTTACACAATGGAAGAATGTAGGTCAATCTGAGTCATTTGACAAATACTGAGAGTTATAATTAAGATTTTGAATTACCTGCCAAATTAGATACAGCAGTAATAGTTAAATTAAGCTTACCTCTTTAATTTTAAAGAATGCCATTCCGGTCAGATGAGAATCAGATCCTGCCTGATGTTGTGGACCGACACGTCGCAGTTCAAGTTGATCAGCCACCTCCTGCAGACCACCTTTCAAGTTCTTGCACAATTTCATTAGGTACTGAAAAACGTAAACAAATTGTAAAGATATCCATCTCTTAACTAATGAAAGTTACAATAGTTTGAAATTACATTTCCATACATTATAAACTAGTGGTCAAAGTATGTTTCAATTTAAAATAGTCATTATGCCTTCCTAATGTGGCAAGTTCTTATATTTGAAAAAATAAAATATTGATTACATTTTAATACATATAAAATGTTGAAATACCTTCACATCATAGACTGTTGGAAAATAGAGTCGTAAGCTTTCGAAGAAATCATTTTCATCTTGTGGGAGGTTTTGATCAGTAAGTAGTTTCAATAGGTAACCAAAATCATATCCAGAGTGGAAACTCAACCATTTAATGTTGTCAATTAGTACAAGTCCTGTAAACACAAAATAATTGATATTGTATGGTAAAGTATAATGCATGCAATATTTAGTATTAAAGTAGTGAAATTATATTTTAATTACTTCTGCATTAAGTAACCTTTCCATTTATTAAATTATGTACCTGATGACATCAGTAGTTCTGCAAATTCCAATGGTTCTATGCCATCTTCTTCATGCTTTCGAAATTGTAGACCTGAATTCTGTAGTAAATCAATGGAGTCCTGGGCATACATATCTTCCCTGAAATATGTCAAAATTTAGAACAAGTTGGTTTCAAAGGTAATTTAGAAAAGCTTGTTACTATAGCTATCACTTACTGTAAGTTAAATTTGAAGTTGAACTGCCATGTGGTGATCCCTGGAGGTGTTTTACCATTCTCATCCATAAATGTAAGACCTAATTGAATGATTCTCAATAGATCAACATTACATCTGAAAAATAATTATGTGGTTAGATATTTTTTTGTATTGAATGGAATAAAAAGTAAACTAGTTTTAATCCAGCTTTAAATACCTCAGAAGTTGATATTGATAATCAGCTGTGGATCTAAATTCGCCAATCGGTCTTGCCACTACTCCAGGAAACTCTGTGTCCATGGCCACCCAATGATACTTTTGAACAACCTGTAATATTTTTTATATTTTAGGAGTTTTTAAATGATCTAAAATACCTTTGGATGGTGATTAAAAAGTCATTATCTATAAATTGTTGCTGAATGTTAATTCATCTATTGTACCTGTCTAATGATCTCAAATTCCTCATGAAGGTTATGATTCCATACATCTTTGATGCCGCAATCTCCATTGGCGGACAACTGTGCTAAAGAACCAAAGCTGGCTGCTGGCATCTGAAATACAGTCCAATGAACTATTACAACTTCAGATTTATTGTGATTATTATACATACACCAAACTCAGTAAAACACTGTCGTGGTATTTACCTTGTATCGATTCTCTGCTTCCGTAAGAGCAGTTTCGTCAGTTTTTTTCGACGCCGTGGTTTCCGACTTGATTTGTTGAACTTTAAATTATGAAAATCCAGCTCTTCTATATGAAAAAAACTACGGTTGTAGGTTATAAATTGTTTGTATTCATCATGATTCGCAAGTTTATGGGATCAGAACTATTAAAAATAACGGTTTTTGTTATGAAAAGAACTTACAAACATGTACAAATCCAGAAATTTACAAATAAATAAGACTGACACGACAATGAAGTGATGCAACAAAACAACCACAGACAATAACCGTTTGACATTGACAGATCAGAGATTTAATAAAAAAATATTGAGCCGTCACTGATCAAGATCTCATGCATCTCTCATCATCATGGCACGCGGATTTTTAAGGAACGTTTAGAGGATTGTGCATAGGGATCGTGTAAAATTCCAGCGTCTTTTAATTATTTACAAGACATAACTCAGGATAAAATGTCCTATTTTTTATAATAGAAACTTTGGTATTTTCCTGGTTGCTATTTTTTTATTTTACACTTGCTGGCGTAACAGGCATTGAAAAAAAATCAAAGTTAACAAAACAAAAATTCAAAAGCTCGATGTCTTTTGTTTCAATAAAGCTCAAACTTGAGCAGTGCCATTTTAATAATGTCCTTATCAAAACAACACCCTAGACTCCTAGAGTCCTAGATGTAGCCACGACTTGTGGTCATAGGACATACCTAGATACTAAGCTATTGTATAGTTATTATATAATACAACTTGCATAGAATTTAGTACCCACATACCTACCTATAGGTAGGTACGCTATACGTAAGAAACATGGATCAGCAGTGTAACTTACTATTACCTATTACTCACATTTAGGTTTCTTACAGGGTGATCAGGAAGCATAATAAAACTAATTCATAATGCGGGCCTTGGTAGCTCTCATGATGTCCCTATGTGTGTAAGGAGATGTGGCACGTGGTGCTCTGCTTCTGCGTGGTCTGTCTTCGGCGGAGGTCTCAGTTGCCGCGTATGGGGAAGCCGGCGCCGGCGGCCTTGAGGTCCGGGACGGTGGCGCACCAGTGTCCCACATTGTGCTGTTAGCAGACGACCCGAGGGGTTCCAGCATTCCCTTCGAAGCCTTTCTCAGCCTGAGATGGAGCCGCGGAGAAATGTCTAAGTTAGGACAGTAGTAACTCGTGGCTCCGTTTCATTTTGGTTTCGGAGGACATGGTCGGGCGTTTACTTAATTGCTAGATTCCGCCCTTCTGGCGGGAAGAGTCCCACATGACCCACTGGCCGTCACCATCAGCCAGTAGGGTAGATATGCGCAAATCATTTCATTATGGAAAAAAGGTACTAATACCTGCAATTTCTATAAATTCCTACATAATATTATTATATTTTTTTCGTTCCTATATCTTCCTATCTTTAAATTCTAATGATTGCGTGGTAATGAACATAATCAATGAAAACTTTTGTGGTTAAAACTGTTACTTAGTTCCCCCATCTCAAATCATAACAACAGGTCAGCGCCTGCCTAGCGTACACCACACTACTGCGTGTTCTGGTTCACGGTGACCACTCGGGAACTTTTCTGTTCCACCACCTAACGGACCGGTCGTTGTGCTAAATTGGGGAAGCCCTTGTCCGCCAGACTCTGCAATGGACGTCCATTCAAAGACCAAACAAAGACGTCTTTTGGTTAGCACGAATGAGATCCATTTTCATCAGACCAAGAGTTAAGTACAGAATATCCTTAGTTCTTAGTTAGGTACTAGGTACCTACTTAATTCATTAGGTACTTTTCATATTACGATCATCAGATTAACACCGATTGCGGTGGAAAATTCTTCACCCATGATAGCATTACCAAGGGCGAGAGACTCAGATAGGGTAAGCATTAAGCATATTACATCGATGTTCTTTACAAGTTAGGTATCTGAAGTCGGGTTATGTTCAGTTTCAGTTTTTCAGTTTCAGTGCACTGCGGTATGTTCATATGGGTTTCACTAATTTGACGTGTGTGTGTGCAACCCGCCTAGCCCGACAGGGCAGTCGTTCGCGTAACGTCGCGAGGGCTGCTTGCATTCACAGGGCGCCGATGCCGCGCCGCTCGTACGATCGCCCAGCGAGAAAGTTTTAGTGCCACTCGTTATTTTTATTGTTTTGAATTATGTGAATTTTAATTTTATTTGTGTGCGTTTATGTTTTTATTATTTTCATCGTTTTTATTTATTTACGAATAAGGAGAATCAAGTTAAGGGGTAAGTCGTAGTTATAGATCATTTAATATTTAATAAAGTTCCAGAACTTTTATACACTATTCTGTTCAGTATTTTAAGTCACAAAACTACAGTAACACAGGAATTATTACTTACCTACATAGAAGGAACAGGACGATTCAGTGCAATGTTATGAATTACCCAGGTCTTATTGATAAAGTAGGTACATGTCATGAATAATACCTACACCACCTGATAGGATATTTTCATGAAAAGTTTTTGGTAATTTAGTTTGGGTTAAAACTATGTTTGATATTTGTTAAGGCGACAAGTAATGATTTGATTATACAAACAGTCCAGTTGTTGGTGAATAAATCATGAAGCTTTATACAGGGTGTACCTACCTACCTACACAAAATAGGGCACACTACATAATGCTGAAAATACGCAACAACTTTTATTTTTGATCTACGATAACGTAATTTTAGATTTTTCCTAGAATCGTGTGAATTTTTAACTTTCAGAAAGTGCAGGTTAGGATTAAATTTATTCTCATATTGGTGCCAACACTTAATATTATATTGGTGTTACTGAGACTTGTCATAAATGATATTGGGCAATGTCTTTCTTCGAAGGTTCTTCACGATAACTCGCTTGTGTAACATCTGAAGAAGAAGAAAAGAACTCTATTTTTTTACAAGCTTATTACAATTGAGCCGACATGGAACAGACAACCTCACTGTATAAAAGTAGCATTCTTCCTACTAGTCGTCATGCTCCAATCTATAAAATAAAGCCTTTGAAAAATTCTCACGTTGTTACCTTAGTTTACTTTGTATGATGGCAAAATTAAAAAGGAAATCGCTTTTTTATCAGATTGATGTAAAGATAATCTCAAAGTAAGACTCATTCCCCAGAGATTATATTATAGGTACCTACCTACATCGAGTTTGTACATTATCCGCCATCGTGTAACTTGAGGCCGTAAGATTTCCGGTGTCATAGCGACTCGTAGGCGGGATAAAATTTTCCATCAAATACAACGGTTTCTGAAAAATGAAAATAACCTACTTGTGGATTAAAATCATGCCTTAGATAAAATTAAAGTTTATATTAATGCGGTATGCTGCACTTAAACAACACACTGTACCTTAAGAAATCGTAGGAATTCTACTTAAGCGATTCAGTATTATCTACTACCATTTTCAAAAAGATTGCCCTACCTGAAATTCAGGCCCACATAATAATATCTCACGTTAGTTATAGATCGCGCGTGTTCAGATTGTGAAAGACTCACCTCTAATCCAGTCAGAATTATCTTGACCTTTTGGGTTATAATGCGTGGGTTACAACGAATTCCATTTTGTGAGTATTATAAGTTTTTTGGAATTATTTATTTATAGTTTCCTAACCTCAGTTCCGGCGAACTTTTCCATTCAACCTTTTTGTTTTTTTTTATTCAACACAATAAATGTTTTATTGATTGATTGATTTGGAGGTGGAGGAAAGTTACTGTAATGGAGAATTGCTGAAACCAAAGCTTAATCATGATTTCTTTACGATAGTTACTTAAAATGACTTACACATGCATGCAAATTCCAGCTCAATAGGAAACCGGGAAGTGGGTCAATTTTAAGTTGCAAGATTTGACGACAGACACCAGACGTCATGTGAAAGTAAATAAAAGCTTGTAAAAATATTTATTACTGTAGTCGGCTAGACTTAGTTTTTAGGGCACTTTTATCCGTGTCAAATAAATCTTGCTCTACATTTTACTAATTGGGATTGAATAAATAAGACTTATCATAAATGTATACTATTCTACTGAGAACTGTGTATCTACATCTCTACTGTATTTATACATTATTAGTACACCCCTTTCTGGGATGTAATACTTGCTACAGCCCACGAATGTCGTCATTTACATGATTGTTCTAGAGAAATGCTGTTTTTCCTGAAAAGAGTGACGTTACACGTTACCTACTCTGATCTATCAAAATTTTATAATCTTATTTTGGTCCTAAACTAAGTATTATTGACATAACTTTTCGTAGAAGTAGGACAATTAATAAACATTCTTCAAGAGGTAAGTTTCTCCTAATGAGACTTTCTTCGATTTAATCGAGAGGTTACGAGTATACTTTAAGAAAGCTTTGGCATCAAGCAAAAGAGGATTATTCGCATTGAGCTCGCAGCTTTATGAGGGGTTCGTTTTGCATAATACCTCAGTAATCCTGAACCTTTTTTATTCTAAATAACTTTAGAATTTTCTTTATCTATACTTTTGTAGCGCCAAGTAAATGCGTGGTAGTTAAATGGATATAGCCATTTCCAGTATTCAGAAAGATACAATTATTCCTACGTAATAAGTAATCCAACAGACTTATTGTAGTTGTTGGATTCCGATATCTATAGGCACTGAAATATATTAGATCGAATAACTTTTTGTACATGAGTGCTAAGTAAACTTATTTGGGAAAAAGCTTCACTCCCCACTGCGTATTGTGTTTCGTGTTGGGGGTAACTATTTGTCCGTAGTTGACGTAAGTTTTCCATTATTTTTTATTTTGTCAAGATCCTCCAACGGAAATGACTGACTAATGTACTGTGACTTGTATAGATAATTGTTATTTTTACATTGTATGATGATTACACTGCATGTATATTGGTTCAGAGCCAAAAATTCGAATCTTCTTGATTTTGGTATTCAGGGCAAAGATTTTTAACATTGTGATTAAAGAACCTAAAAGAAAAGAATTCGTTCAGGGTTCAATCAAGGTTTTTTTTATCGTAGTTGTTGTTATATGTTATGTACCTTAGAATACAGATTTTAATTAATTCAATTTTAATTAAATAAGAAGTAAGACTTGAATTTAGACATAATGAAAGATAATAAAATAGGACAGTTCTATAGGACGACTGAAAATATCACTGCAGTGATTTTTAACATAATTGGCTCCATACGGGTTGGTAAAAGATGTAACTCACTGGTAGTGAAAGCTTTACGTTCTTATAAAACTTTTTTTGGTAATAGCCAATGTCAGAACTTAAACAATCATAATTTAAATTTTTTATTTCACACTTATAAAGTTGTATAGTCTAATATTACGGTCTAGTACACTTGCGCGAAAGACACTAGTGCGAAAGACTTTAGCGCGAAGACACTAGCGCGAAAAGACACTAGCGCGAACGGACGTTAGGGCGAAAAGACATGAGCGCGAAAGACACTAGCGCGAAGGACATTTGCGCGAAAACAGTTTTCGCGCTAGTGTCTTCGCGCTAATGTCTTTCGCGCTAGTGCCCCGATACCAATATTACAATATACAAGAATAGTTACACTTGAAACGAAAGGACGATGCAAACTTCATTGTATTATAATTTGATTGAATCGTAAGAAATGTTCTAATTAGTACAGTAGAATTAAGTCATACCCCAAATAGTTACGCAAAAAACATTTCTCTGGCAGCTGATTTTAATGTGACTGGCAGAATTCATGGCCGCGCGTCGTAAACATTGTGGCTTCTTAATAGCATATAATCGTAAAAATATTGGCTAGATGAAGGATGATTGACGCAAGTCTGCCCCAATTATTTATATGTATTGGTTTTTATCTATAGTTATAATAATAAATGTAGAGAGCTTTTATTTAGAATAGCCAATTAATTGCTCCCTATTTCGTATTTTGCTAATTACTTGGATATACCTGAGTAGATTTTCTTTGAAAATATTGAAAGACGCACGCTCTCTCTTGACTTATTATATTTCCAAATTTTTCTCTTTAACTCATTTAATTTTTCTTCTTGCTTTCTGATCTTTATTTAGTTTTTATAAACTATGAAATCTACGTTGCAGTTAGGCCCAAAACAGACGGTGAAACGCAACTGATGAGATGCAACTCAAAAGTAACTAACAGCTGTTGCAGTTTCATTGCAGTTGCGTTTCACCGTCTGTTCTGGGTCTTAAAGTCGCATGCGATGCAACACGGATTACTAATGTTTGGCCAAAAAACGTTTCCCAAATTATCACATGGCAAACAACGTTTCGCAAATTTTCATTTGGCAAATTCTCATTTGGCAAAACAACTTATTGCAAACTTTTAATTCGCAAATGTCTTTTTTGGCATATTATTGTTTAGCAAATTATTGTTTGGCAAAGTATGTTTTGCCAAATGTTTCATTTGGCAAAAATATTTCACGATAAACTATTTACAAAATAATTATTTTGGTGCATAGAATGGAATACAAATTAGCTTGTGGTTATTATTTTGTTTAGTGGGTAGTTAATATAAAATTTGTTCTAAATTTATTTTCATATTTCATTATTTTTATCGAAACTAAATGATTAATTAACAATAGAGGTGATTCTAGCGCTCGGCGGCCGCTGCCGCGGCACGCTTCGCTCGCCTTCGCGCGTTAAGGGTCACTGTTCTAACCTAACCTAACCTACTATTTTCTGCAAAACCTACTTTCGCATCCATACTATTTTCTGCAATCTCTTTGTTTAACATAAAATTCTTGTGAAAACCATGATCATTTGCCTTGTGCTTTAATTTGTGGGTAACGGTGGGTAAGCATGTGAAGTGTCAATTTGACCAAATAAATTATTTGGGATATAATATTTGGCAAAATAAAACATTTGCTATATAAACATTTGCCAAGTAAAATTTGACCAAATGATATTTTGACCAAATGAATTAGTTGCGAAAAGTACATTTGCTAAAAGTTCATTTGGGAAATGAAACTTTGGCGATAAGTTGTTTGCGAAGTGAAATTTGGCGAAAAGTAATTTGGCCAAACGGAAGGATACCATGCAACACATTATCATAATACTTTGTTTGGTCAATGGTATCAGTAAATGCCACTTTGACTTAATTGCATGCAGTGTTCTTTTGAGATTTTATGATAAACAAGAATTTTAAAATAATACTTGAGGTAAGTAATTCAACTAATCCAAAGAACTGCACGTTAGGTAAGTCAAAGGTCAGACTTAGTAAACATAATACCTAATTAATTGCAAACTGTATTACGAATACAAAGCTAATT